ATGTGCCACCCTCTGTCCTTCACAGTCCACAGGCAGACAAATGGTATCGTGGTCAGACCCAGCTGTCATGGACCTATGCCTGGGGGAAACTGGAGACTGGGCAGGGCTTGCCCAGCCATGGGCAACACCGTGCCAAATATTTGGCCCTCAACAGATGTCCACGGAGAAGAACGATGATCCTCCACTTGGTCAAGAAAAAAGCCAATCAGCCTTTTTCCCAGAAGCACAAAGCATTCTGCCCTTCAGGCACTGCCTGAGAATCCGCCCATCCCACATGCCTTACCTGCAGCCGAGGGCCTGAAATCTGGAAAGGAAGCTACATCTGCAGGGCAGTACATGGGGGGAATGGGGAAGGAGAGTTTTATAACCAAACTTAAAGCAATACTGAGAGTGAAGGGGGGGAGGGGAAGAGGGGCAGAGGCTGGTGCCCAGAGGGAAGCAGCAGCTTGTATAGTGGCTGAGAAAATAGAAAACAGTTTGTTTTTTTTAAATGTAAAGTATTTTGGAGGGGAGAGTGAACTCTTTTAACACTTTGAATAAATTTAGAGTTTTATAAAACAAGCCACTTGTTTTCTACCTACTCCCTGCTTTTTTTAAGGGAGCACTGGTGTTGAGAAGAGCAGAATAAACCCACACGTACCTGGTCAAGGCTAGGACTTAGGTGATAATCAGGATGTCCTAGAATATGCCAGCCAGCTGTTGGTGTGGCTATTTCATACAAATCAAACAAGGAAAAGAGGTGATTGATCTTTGCTTAGGTATTTATGTTTCAGGAATCACTGAAGTTTTTAAAATTATGCTGCATAATGTGAGAGACATGGAATGGATCTTTTAATATCCTAATCCCAAACCAAGATTTGAGTACAGTACATACCTATCAATACTTAGGCTAAAGCTTGCTGTTGTATCCTTTTTAACAGCTGATGTCATTGATTAAACATGATTAACTGCACAATAACTCCTAAGACAAAGTACGTGTATTAGTGTATATTTTCTCAGGCATTTAAGCAACCAGATCATACAGCTGACCTAATACGGTAGTCACTAACTACATGTGGCTATTTACATTTAAATCAATTAAAATTTGTACAAATTTAAAATTCCTTGGTTGTGCTAGCCACATTTCAAGTCCTCAATAGTCATTTATGGCTAGCATCGGGCTATGCAAACATAGAACATTTTTATAATGGACAATGCTGATATAGAAGTTCTGTTATCTGTATAATAGGAAATTTTTATTATTGCCATAAGGATTCTTTTTGGATGTCAGTAATTTGAAAAATGAATATGATGTAAAATAAAATGTATTCTGTGATTTCTTTCCCCCTTGAAGTTTTAGGTTTTTGTTTTGGCTTTTTTAATATTTAGAGAGAGCAGTTGTGTACACGCAAGTGGAGCAGGGGCAGAGAGAGGGAGACAGAATCCCAAGCAGGCTCTGCACTATCAGCATAGATCCTGAGGCAGGGCTCAATCCTACAAACCACGAGATAGTGGCCTGAGCCCAAATCAAGAGTGGGGCACATAACCAACTGAACCACCCCAGCACCCCTGAAGTTTTAGTTTTTGTTTTTTCTTTAATGTTTACTTATTTTTGAGAGAGAGAGAGAGAAAGTGCTAGCAGAAGAGGGACAGAGAGAGGAGGACACAGAGTCCAAAGCAGGCTCCAGGTTCTGAGCTGTCAGCACAGAGCCTTGACACGTGGTGCTGAAACCCTCAGACCGTGAGATCATGGCCTGAGCCAAAGTTGGACGCTTAACCAACTGAGCCACCCAGACACCTGAAGTTTTGGTTTTGATACAGACACTATACTGATTAGAAATTGACTTCTTTGAAGGGAAATCACTTTTGATTATAATATTTTCTTTGTAAAGAAGCACTTGTATGTCTGCTGCTCTTCTGTATTCCTGCCCAAAAAAAGTTCATTTGGACTAGATTTACTGGAGTTTCCCCTTTTGACAGAATAACATGCTGAAAATTCCCTCTTCTTAATAACAGCTCTTCTGTATTGGGGCTTAAAGTGGTCCAGACATTGTGCTGAACTCTCTATATGCAGTAATAGTCTTTTAATCCTTACATCAGTCCTGCAAAGTCAGAATTGACTTTTGGGAAATAGTCCATGAGAGCTGACTTGCTTAAGGTCAAGAAGCTACCTACCAGGGATGCTCAGTCGGTTAAGTGTCTGACTTGGGTTCAGGTCATGATCTCATGGCTCATGAGTTCAAGCTCCGCAGCAAGCTCTGCTCTGTGGTGACAGCTCAGAGCTTGGAACCTACTTCAGATTCTATGTCTGTCTGTCTCTGCCCCTCCATCCCCCTCTCAAAAAGTGAATAAACATATAAACAAACAAACAAAAAAGCTGCTTACTGAATGCACAAACTAGGCTGGAATCAAAATCAGCCTCAGGGGCGCCTGAGTGGCTCAGTTGAGTGCTCAACTTTGGCTCAGGTCATGATTTCATTCGTGAGTTTGAGCCCCATGTCAGGCTCTGTGCTGACAGCTCAGAGCCTGGAACTTGCTTCAGATTCTGTGTCCTTCTCTTTCAAGAATAATAAACATTTAAAAAAAAAAACAAAAAAAACAGCCTCACCTGAGTCTAGAACTTAGATTCCTTTTCCTTGTATTGCAAGCAAGCGTTACGAAGCTCTCTGCAGTGGCTTCACATAGATAAGTGCCAGGGACAAAGTAAATATTAGTCTTTGCTGTTACGAAGATTGTACTTTTTTTTGTTCCCTATAGTTAATAATTGCCTTGTTTTTCACATGCATAGTTTTCTGGTGTATCAATTTAGTGCCAAGTCTAAATTTCCCTTTGTTCAAACACATCAAGTATTCTGTTTTATCTTTTCCCTCATCCTCCTCCAACCTGGATTGATTACCCCAAAACAAAGGTAACCATAGTACCCCATGTGGCTTAACTACAAATAAGATTTACAGAATTGTAATGTTAGTGTTCAATATTGTTGTGACAGAAATTTTGTTTTATTTTTTATTTTTTTGGCCAAATGTGGGGCTTGAACTCACAACCTTGAGATCAAGAGTTGCATGCTCTACTGATTGAGTCAGCCAGGTACCCTGCTTGGATGGAAGTCATGAGAAGTTGGAGATGTATATATGTGAATGAAGGGCAGTTGCTAAAACACCTGAAACTACAAATGAAGAGAATGTATATGTCATTTAGAAATGTGCAGATAGATTCTAGGAAGATTAGGACAGATTTGTCTCAAGGGAGTAGGATTTGGGGTAGGGATAGATCAGGTAAGGGACTGCTGTTTATTGTTTATTTCATAAAGTCAGCAAATATCTTCTCAGTGCCTACCATATCCCAGACATTGTAGGAATTTGATTAGAAACAAAACAAGCAAGAATCCCTGTCTCCTGGAACTTACACTCTAAATTAAAAATAAATATTTAAGGAGCACCTGTGTGGCTCAGTCGGTTAAGCATCCGACTCTTGATTTTGACTCAGGTATGATCTCACCGTTCATGGCTTCGAGCCCTGCATTAGGCTCTGCGCTGGCAGTGCAGAGCCTGCTTGGGATTCTCTCTCTTTCTCAAAAGAGAGAGAAAGGAGGAAGGAAAAGAAAAACTTAAACATTTAAATATTTCTCACCTGAAAATAAAAATCTTGGGGCACCTGGGTGGCTCAGTTGGTTAGGCCTCTGACTTTGGCTCAGGTCATGATCTCACAGTTCATTGGTTTGAGGCCTGAGTTGGGCTCTGTGCTGACAGCTAGCTCAGAACCTGGAACCTGCTTTGGATTCTGTGTCTCCCTCTCTCTCTGACCCTCCCCTGCTCACTCTGTCTCTCTATCTCTCTCAGAAATAAATAAAACATTTAAAAAAAATTTTTTTAAGAAAAAGAAAATAAAAATCTTTCACGTGGAGTAAAGAAAGAGCACAGCAGAGGACCTGGCAAATAGTACTAAATAAACAGCTATCGGTTATAATTTAAATGCCTCCAAATGCCATGGAGAATTTCCTGGATGCCAGGCACTGGGTCAAGTAGTTTCCCAACTTCTCACTTCCTCCTCACATCCTATGTGGTAAGAACTATCACCCACATTAGTCTCAGGTTAAATAACTTGCCAAAATAATTAGTGAGAGGGGACTGAGATTGATGTTCCATTTGTTAGAATTGATAGTCAAAGCGCCCGATGGCTACACTGCAATTACAGTAAGTAGGATAAAGCTGGAAATGTGGCAGCTGGTGGTTGGATCTCAAGTTTTCAGATCGATGAACACTTGGCTTTGAGACACAACGCCCAAATTTAGGAGTATAAACTGGTAAAGGAGGGCATTAGTGGCACATCATCCCAGAGGGAGCCCCAAAAAGGAATCCCCAAAGTGAGCTTCACTGTTAGAGAAAATCACAGAAGCTCCCTATTCTGAGAAACAGCCAAAGTTGAGGCTTTGCCCTGGGACATTTCCGGACTAGGAGAGTTAAACTGTCGGGATTATGTAGTCATTGAAATCCTGTTTACTGAGGGCCTTCTATGGGCAGGTCATCATTTCTGGGACAAGTGAGAGGGGGCTGCTTGCGTTAGGGTAGTGGATATGGGACTCCGGAAAGTAGAGTGCCACGATTTAGGGATTGCTTGGTTGGGATGACTGGATTGCTCCAACGTACACGCCCTGTAACCCTTGTCTCCCTTTCCACCGCAGGATCCCATCCAGCTTCAACAAAAATCTCATGTCTTGCATTGGGAAACAGGGTGAAGGGGTGGCTGGGGCCGACGTGCGGTTTGTCCAAGGCCACGTAGAGCAGCTGGATCGCCCTGGCTCCCAAAGGGGGCTTTTCAGTTTTCTAAAGTGTGTGCTTATATTGCAGTTTGTTTGGTTTTTTTCCTACAAAGAGCATAATCCGTTTTGTAATTCTATAGTACGTTTGTATTTGAATACAGTGGGAGAAACCGGAGAACGCTAACTACCGTAGCAACCCGCGCACTGGCGTAGAGTCCGCTCCGCCCCATCCCGCCGACTCCGAAGAGCTCCGCCCCCAGGGATCCAGGAACTCTGCGTCCGGCCGAATCGTCGGAAAAACCCGGAGCGGCGAATCGGGCGCGGCCTCGGGCGCGGAGTTTCAGAGCTTGCGCAGAAGGCGTCCGAGGCGCATGCTCCCTGGCGGCCCCGGGCCCGCGGTGTGGCTCCCGCGCTGGCCTCCTCGGCCCACGGAATTCCGGGCAGGCTGCGGACATGGCGGCCAGCCTGTGGATGGGCGATGTGAGTGAGGGCGGCTGCGCGGCTCCGAGGAGGACGACTCTTAGCGTCACGGGGGAGGAAGAGTCTGAGGGGGACAAGTCCTGGAATCTCAAAAGGGTGGAAGTGAATGGGGAGTGGAATTCTTTGGGTGACACTGGAGGGTCCCAGCATCTAGAGGAAGGGACCGAGTCTGAGGGTGCGGGTTCCTGGCCTTCCTCGTGCGTTCTTGGAAGGGAAGGGGAGGTTCTTTAGGGGGTAGAATGGCAGGAATCCCAAGGTGGAAGGGCGCTGTGTGTGGCTCTAGCACTGGAGGGGTTACTGGATCCAGAGCGGGATCCCTAAAGAGGGCAAGTGTGGAGGGAAGGGAGGCGAGGGATTGAAAGGTGGGGATCAGGCCGCGCGGTAGATGAAGATCTCCCCTTCCTCACCCCCGCCCGCACCAGCACCGCGTAGCGAACCCTGGGTGGGCTCTGGAACCCGGACTGAGGAGCCTGGCTGCTGGCTGGCCGCCATCGCTCTGCTCTTGCTTTTGTATTTACGCAGCTGGAGCCCTACATGGATGAGAATTTCATCTCCAGAGCCTTTGCCACCATGGGAGAGACCGTAATGAGCGTCAAAATTATCCGAAACCGCCTCACTGGGTACATTTTCTTCTTCGATCTTCTCAATTCTGCGTTAATAGACCATGCTGCAGGTGTCATTCTCGAGAATGTAAACATCACAAGGTCAGGGCTTCTCACCCCCTAATAATAGTTAATATAATGTTATAAACGCTAACATTTGGGGTCTTATTGGGAGGAAGTGTAGCATATTGCTTAAGGACTGGACTCTGGAACCAGACTGAAAGTTATGTCTACTATGTGACCTCCCGCAAATTACTTGCCCTCTCCATCCCCTTACCACAACTATGAAAATGGAGATGATAACAGCATCTACCTTAGCGAGTTATGGTGAGATTAAATGAGTTAATTCACATTCAGCATTTAGAACAGTGTCTACCATATGGTAGATGTTTAATAAATATAAACAGATTACCATCTGCTTAGTTATAAGCACTTTTTAAAACATGTTTATTTTTGAGAGAGAGTGAGTGGCGGAGGGGCAGAGAGCGAGGGAGAGAATCTGAAGCCGACTCTGTGCTGTTAGCTCAAAGCCCTGTGCGGGGCTCAAAGCCCACTGAGGGGCTGAAACCCATGAACCATGAGATCATGCCCGGAGCCAAAGTTCAACACCCAACCCATCGGACCACCCAGGTGCCCCAGTATTAAACGCTTTAAAATCACTTAAAAATTATTTATTTATTTATTTATTATTTTTTTTTAATATTTTTATTTATTTCTAGGAGAAAGAGAGAGACAGCGTGAGCAGGGGAGGGTCAGAGAGAGAGGGAGTCACAGACTGAAACAGGCTCCAGGCTCTGAGCTGGCAGTCAGCACAGAGCCCGACGCGGGGCTCGAACCCACGAACCGCGAGATCATGACCTAAGTGAAAGTCGGACACTTAACCGACTAAGCCACCCAGGCGCCCCAAAAATTATTTATTTTTGAGAGAGACAGAGACAAAGCATGAGCAGGGGAGGGACAGAGAGAGAGGGAGACAGAATTCAAAGCAGGCTCCAGGCTCCGAGCTGTCAGCACAGAGCCTGCCTTGGGGCTTGAACATGGCCTGAACCGAAGTCGGACGCTTAACCAACTGAGCCACCCAGTGCCCCTAAATCACCTTTTTAACAGGTTTTATTTTTAAGTAATCTCTACACCCAACATGAGGCTTGCATTCACAATCCTGACATCAAGAGTCACATGCTCCACCGACTGAGCCAGCCAGGTGCCCTTAAAATCATTTTTTAAAATCACAAGTATGTCTGAGCTAAGTACTATTATTAGAGAAGCTTCAATTCAATAACTGTCTTAAAGTTTACAGAGCTATTAAATGACAAGCCAGGACTCAGGTCTGTTCTTAAAGCCATGAGTGCTCTTAACTCTGTCATTCACTTAAAAAGTTATTTATAGAAATAATACTGCATGCAATTGTTCTGGGTTGCCTGGATAGCAGGCTGAAACAAACCATAGTCCCTCCTCTCTGGAGTTTACTACATTCTAAGAGGGACATGAAACAGTAAATATGGAAACAACAAAATGCAGAGAATATTTTGAGATGGTGGTGTTATATCACCCCTAGATTCTTCCTTCTCTTGGGGGAAGGGGGTCTCAGTTTTCCTTGGGGTTCTAGTTAGAAAAGGGAGAATCCTTTTATCAATTGTCAGTATTTACTGAGCAGCTACTCTGCCACGTACTCTATTAGAGTAGCTTGCTAAAACATCAAGTGGTTGAAAAATACAGATGAGAGATACGACGTGTGGTCAGTTTGGGCTATTTGGTTGACAGGTACTTTGCGTGTTGAGAGCCCCAATACTTGTTACTGAAAGCCAGGTTTGGCTGCCTATACTTGGAAAGGTCAATATTCTAGAGATGAGTTGTCTTTTTTTTCCTCCTTCCCTCCCCACCCCCAAGAGACGAGTTTTAATTGGAAAGGAATAGGAGCTTTATTCAGGAGGCTGGCCACCTGAGGAGAAGGCAGACCCTTGTCCAAAAGCCTACTCCAGGGGCGCCTGGGTGGCTCAGTCGGTTGGGCAACCGACTTCGGCTCACATGGTTCATGGGTTCAAGCCCCGCATCGGGCTCTGTGCTGACAGCTAGCTCAGAGCCTGGAGCCTTTTTCGGATTCTGTCTCCCTCTCTCTCTGCCCCTCCCCTGCTCATGCTGTCTCTCTCTCTCTCTCTCAAATAAATAAAAAAACGTTAAAAACTTAGAAGAAAAAAAAAGCCTACTCTAAGGGCACCTGGGTGGCTCAGTCAGTTAAGCATCAGACTTTGGCCTGGGTCTTGATCTTGCTTTTCCTGAGTTCAAGCCCTGCATAGGGCTCTGTGCTGACAGCTCAGAGGCTGGACCCTGTTTCAAATTCTGTGTCTCCCTCTTTCTCTCTGTCCTTCCCCCACTTGTTCTTGGTCCCTCTCTCAAAGATAAATAAACATTCATGTGCGTGCACGCACGCGCGCGCGCACACACACACACACACACTCTCCAAGGTTTCTCCTGGCCCAGAGATTTTTAAAGTGATTTAGGACAATTAATTAAGGAAGTGCAGTGGTCTATGACAATTCTTTTTTCTCTTTCTTTTTTTTTAATTTTTAAGTTTATTTTACTTATTTTGAGAGAGAGAGCGAGCATGGGAGAGGCAGAGAGAGAGAGAATCCGCACTCTCTGCACAGCCTGATGTGGGGCTTGAACTCAAACTGTGAAATCATGACCTGAGCTGAAGTCAGGAGTCGGTCACTTAACCTCTTGAGTCACCCAGGCGCCCCTCTGACAGTTCTTGATTACATCCAGGCTCGGTGGTGCCAGCTACAGATGTTATCACGGGGCTCAGAGGTCTTGCCAAGGCGCCTGGTTCCTTGGGGGTGGGGGTGGGGGTGTTGTGCAAGAGGGTTTGGTTCCTTGGAGCCCAGGGTGGTACAGGAGAGGAGAGCTCAGTTCTGTCTAGGAAAGAATGTGTGATCTATCAATGTACAAAGAAAGATTTAGTTGTGCTCGCTTCGGCAGCACATATACTAAAAAAGAAAGATTTAGTCAATCCCATGGGATAAGGGTGCTTGTTAAAACTTAAATACTACTAGGTTGGCCAGAGGTGCTGAGGCCCTTCATACCTAGGAACGGATTTTCTGACTGGTAGATTGTGCTAGCCTAAATATTTTTCTTTTTTGCACTTGTAGACTGAAAGCCCTAGATAATCAATCAGCTACTGGTATGAAAACACGTTCTGTAGTACTTTCTACTTCACTGAAATAAGATTTGGAACTGTCTCTTCCTAACCACAATTACTAAACTCTAGTTGTTTCTTACCATGGTACATATAGACACATTGCATTTTTAATCAGCCTTACTTGATAAAAGAGTTTGAAAGGGCTTATAAGAATACTGTAAAATGATTAAACGCAAATTTTAAAAAGAAGACCAGGGGCACCTGGGTGGCTCAGTTGGTTGAGTGACTGACTCTTGATTTTGGGTCAGGTCATGATCTCATGGTTTGTGGGTTTGAGCCCCAAGTCTGGCAGTTTCTTATATACATCTGCCTTATGACCCAGCCAAGTCTAGTACTAGGAGTTTATCCAAGAGAAATGAAGACATCTACCCACCAAGAATAGGACTTGAAAAGAGTGTTCATAACAGCTTCATGACAGTGGCTGAAAACTGCAAGTAGTCTAGATATCCACAAATAGGTAAACAGATAAATATTGGTGTTTTCATACAGTAGAATCCCACTCAGCAATAAAAAAGAACAAACTACTTACATAGTAACAACACAAATGAGTCTCTAGCATTATGCTGATTGAAGGGGTGCCGGGCTGGCTCAGTTGATAGAACATGTGACTCCTGATCTCGGGGTCATGAGTTTGAGCCCCACCTTGGGTGTGGAGTTTACTTGAACAAAAATGGCATTATGCTAAATGAAAAAAGCCTTACTGTATGATTCCATTTATTTAAACTTGTAGAATATACAAAATTGATCTATAGTAAAAATAACTCAGTGTCTAGGATATTTGTGCAGTTCTCTGTGTGTATATTTCATTGCTTATAAAACTGAAACAAAAACTGTAAACTAATTGAATAATATGCATATTGGAAGTAATTGAGAGAAGTATACCAATATCTACAACCTAACTTTGGAATGTATCAGAAAATAAGAATAATAAGTGGGTAGAGGGGATGGATAGATGGATAATTATGTGACAAAATAAGTATAATAAAGTGTTATAGGTGGTAGAAATGTAGCTGTTTGCTATACAATCTTTTTTTTTTTTTAAGTTTTTTTTTTTTCTTTTAGTAATCTCTTCACCCAATGTGGGGCTCAAACTTATGACCCAAGATCAAGAGTTGCATAGCACCCTCAATTCTTCTCATTTTTATGTTTGGAATTTTTTACAATAAAATGTTGGCGAAAGAATATAGTCAGACTATCCTGAATTCAACTCCAACCTTTGGCACATACCAGCTGTGTGGGTTAAGGCCTCTTGTATAATCTGGCTAGGTCTCAGTATCCCTTCTAAATGGGAGCAGTGGGGGGCGCCTGGGTGGCTTAGTTGGTTAAGCGTCCGACTTTCGCTTAGGTCATGATCTCGCGGTTCGTGGTTTCGAGCCCTGCATCGGGCTCTGTGCTGACTGCCAGCTCAGAGCCTGGAGCCTGTTTCAGAGTCTGTGATTCCCTCTCTCTCTGACCCTCCCCTGCTCACGCTGTCTCTCTCTCTCTCTGTCTCTCTCTCTCTCCTAGAAATAAATAAAACATTAAAAGAAATTTAAAAAAAAATAAATAAATGGGAGCCATGGTTCCATTCACCTCACAGAGCTGGTGTGAGGGTTCCGTCAGTGAGAGATGGTGCATGTGAAATGGCCAACACAGAGCTTGGCCCATAATGAGCACTTGATAGTGGTCAGCTCTTTTTTTTCCCCCTAAGTCCATGATTCAATTTTTAAAAACATTTTTTAGAGAGAGAGAGAGCACGAGAGCAGGGGAGAGGGGCAAAGGTAGAAAGAGAGGGAGAATCTGAAGCTGGGCTTCATCCTGCCGGGAATGGCCAACAAACCCTGTGCTGATGGGTGAAAGATTACTCCACACTTTGCTCAGAAAGAGGAGAAGGTACCGGGTCAATGTTTACAGATGAAGACCCCCGTTTACCTCACTTGTAGTTTCATTTATGGCAGTGTCAGGCCAATCACAAATTTCAGTTGACTTGTTGTGTACAGAGGGCGTGTGACATTTCAGGCTTGCAGAAACAGAGGGTGCCTGACTTAAAGGTGAATAATCACAAGAGACTAATCAAGCTACTGTGTGTCCTATTTTTTTTTTAATTTTTTAATGTTTTATTTCTTTTTTTTTTTTAAATGTTTTATTTATTTCTAGGAGAGAGAGAGAGAGACAGCGTGAGCAGGGGAGGGTCAGAGAGAGAGGGAGTCACAGACTGAAACAGGCTCCAGGCTCTGAGCTGGCAGTCAGCACAGAGCCTGACGCGGGGCTCGAACCCACGAACCGCGAGATCACGACCTAAGTGAAAGTCAGACGCTTAACCGACTAAGCCACCCAGGCGCCCCTAATGTTTTATTTCTGAGAGAGAGACAGCACGAGCAGGAAGGGTCAGAGAGAGGGAGATACAGAATCCAAAACAGGCTCCAGGCTCTGAGCTAGCTGTCAGCACAGAGGCTGATATGGGGCTTGAACCCACAAACCGTGAGATCCTGACATGAGCCGAAGTCGGACACTTAGACTGAGCCACCCAGGCGCCTCTGTGTGTCCTATTATTTTGCTAAACTTTGTATACAATGTATAGATAAGGGAGTTCCCCAAGGACTGCAGAAATGCCTGGGAGGGCTGGAGCGGGACATGGGCAGTCTGGGGAGTCAGGCCTTTGGCATTCCAAGAAACCCACACCCCTCCCAAGTTTAACTGCAGCCCCCCAGAAATCTCTGTGTTACATTTTAGCTAGCTGACATTGTGTATAATCGTCATCCTCAGTGATAAAACCCCAACCCTGGGACCATGAGCAGCCAAAATCAAGAGTCAATTGCTCAACCGACTGAGCCACCCAGGTGTCCCAGTAGTGGTTGGCTCTTACTGATCGTGGCCTTCACATCTGTGAGCCTCAAGATTCTAGCACACAGCACAGATTTGGCCCTTCATTCTTAGCATCAGCAAAATTTATGGAACTCATATATCCCGATCTATGATCCTTGGCCACAAGCACTGCTGTTGCCCATACCTTCGTGGCTTTGTGTCCATATGTTTATTTAAACTGAGGACCTTGAGTAATATATCCAGAAAAGTTAGGATTATTTCACCGGTGGTAGCTGTAAGGATAATGTTAAGGAAAATTAACTGTGTTCAGTATAATTCTCTTGGTAGTAAGGGATGTCAGAGGATACAGCCATATCTTTCTACTTCTGTTTCTTGGTGATGCTTTAAAAAATAGAATATGGGGGATCTCCTAGACATCTCCCAGTTTAGGGTCCATGTGTTTACTTTGTCCAGCCAGCCAGATTGTAAGCTTCTTGAGGACAGGAATCTTGTTCTTCAGCTCTATTTCAGCTTTGTTTTTGGGTGATCAAAAACAAAACAAAACAAAAAAACACATTAAATTATGACAATTTTCAAATAAAACTACAAAGAACAGTACAGTGAACACTCATATAGTCACCACTAATTTCAACACTTGTTAACGTATTGCCATATTTTCCTTACCTGTCACTTTAACTGGATAAATTTAAATAGAGGTTTCTTTTTGCTAAATCATATGAAAGTAAATTACAGACGTTGTGACAGTTTATGACAACATATTTAAGCATACATTGCCAAAAACTGGACATCCCCACAATGCTTCCATCATAGTAACAACATTAACAATGATTCCGTGATACCCATCAAAAGATACCCAAGTGATTCCCATATAATAGTCAGTCTACCTTCAAATTTTTATGCTTGCCTCAAGAATAGTTTTTATAGCTTTTTAAAAATTTTTTTAAATGTTATTTATTTCTGAGAGAGAGAGAGCAAGAGAGAGACATACAGCGTGAACAGGGAGGGTCAGAGAGAGAGGGAGATAAAGAATCTGAAGCAGGCTCCAGGCTCTGAGCCAGCTGTCAGCACAGAGCCCGACGTGGGACTTGAACCCATGAACCATGAGATCATGACCTGAGCCGAAGTCGGACGCCCCAATATAGTTTTTAAAAAAAAATGTTTCTTTCTTTTTTTTTTCAGGTCAGATGGGTAGCGTGCCAAGGTCATAACAGGGTTTGAAGAAGGCACATTTGACAACAGTATGAGTACTGCATCATCACACTTAATGAACTAAAGAATCATCTCTTGTCTCATTTTTTAAAATATTTATTTATATTTGAGAGAGACAGAGCACAAGCAGGGGAGGGACAGAGAGAGACAGATTCTGAAGCAGGCTTCAGGCTCTGAGCTGTCAGCACAGAGCCTGACGCAGAGCTTGAACTCACGGGGCTGTGAGGCCATGACCTGAGCCAAAGTTGGACGCTTAACCAACTGAGCCACTTAGGCGCCCCTGTCTCTTTTAATGTAGAAAAGCTCACATCTTTTCTTTTCTCCTAACACTGACTTTTCAAAGAGTTAAGACTAATTGTCTTACTTAGGGTTCTACATTCTGGAATCTAGTTTAACCTTCTGGACTTATTTGCTTCTTTTTGGTGGTGTTTTACTTGTTCTGTCCCTAATATTTCCTGTAAACTAGACATTAGATCTAAGGGTTTTATTGGATTGTAGTAAATATTCTTTTTTTTTTTTAATGTTTATTTTTGAGAGAGAGAATGAGTGCAGATGGGGGATGGGCAGAGAGAGGAGGACAGAGGGTCCGAAACAGGCTCTGCACTGACAGCAGCGAGCCCGATGTGAGGCTTGAACTCTCAAACCATGAGATCATGACTGGAGCCAAAGTCGGACGTTCAGCTGACTGAGCCACTCTGGTGCCCCAGATTGTATTAAATATTCTTGGCAAAACTACTTCATAGGTGATATAGTACATAAGTAAATGTTAACTAGATGAGTGTGGGACTGGCCCAGATTGGCAGCCCTTATATTCAGATTTGTAAGTTAGTTAATTTTTTTTAATTTTTATTTATTTCTAGGAGACAAGAGAGAGACAGTGTGAGCAGGGGAGGGTCAGAGAGAGAGGGAGACACAGACTCTGAAATAGGCTCCAGCTCTGAGCTGGCAGTCAGCACAGAGCCCGATGCCGGGCTCGAACCCAAGAACCACAAGATCATGACCCTAAGCGAAAGTCGGACGCTTAACCGACTAAGCCACCCAGGCGCCCCCAGATTTGTAAGTTAGTTTTGAACTGGAATATGGCAGGGAACAAAAAACAGTACAGTCTCTGGTTAGAGAAACATTTTTCCTTCCCCTCAGGCCAGGGCTCAGTCTCCTCTGACAATCCCATTTTTAACCATTCTCTTTCTCTTGTTTGCTTGCTTTCCAGAATCCCAGCTGGCTACTGTTTTGTAGAATTCGCAGATTTGGCCACAGCTGAGAAGTGTTTGCATAAAATTAATGGGAAACCCCTTCCCGGAGCCACACCTGTAAGGACACTTAGATAATGATGATGATGTCATTTTTATTGTCATCGATAACTATCATTTATTAATCCCTACTGTATACTTACATTATTTTATTTAATCTTCTAAAAACCCTGAGCAGTAGTCATCATTATCTTTGACAGACCAGGAAACTGAAGCTCAGGGAAGTGGAATAACTTACCCTGAGGCAATGCAGGTAGTAAATGCAGAGTCAGGATGCAAACTGAAGATTGGTTCCTCTAGAATCCATGCCCTTTGCACTGGCGCCGCTGCCTCCCTTAACGGAAGACTTGAAACCCTAGCCCTCTGCCTGACTGAGAAACTAGAACAGGCTGGCGGCAGTGAGGACACATTTCAAGAGAGTTACATTCTGCTCTTCCCACAGTTACTTAGCTTACAGCTGCACCAAGCCGGCACACCTGGGCTCATAGAACCATGGAGCTGGCAGTGCCCTTAGCGATCATCCGTGCAACCCCCCCATTTTATACAGGAGAAAAGCTGAGGCTTAGAGAGGGGGAGATGTTTTGGCCAAGGTAATTTATTTCAGTTTTTTTCAAATATTGTTTGACTCTTGAAATGCCCTTCTCCATCTTAGTTTGTTTGTTTTTAAATTTCTAGGCAAAACGTTTTAAACTGAACTATGCCACTTATGGGAAACAGCCAGATAACAGGTGAGTGTAGGGTAACCCCAAGGTAGCTTCAAGTCCCAGGGAAAGTCTAGATAGAGACAAGATGCATCACTGTGCTGGACTCTGCCGAAGAGGTGGTTGGGGAGCCAAGTTTGGTCCACTTTGCCTTCCTCCTGAGGGATGACTGCCTCCCCTTCCCCACTGGTGCTTCTTGTCAAGACCCGTGTATTCTTTTTAAAAATTTTTTTTTAATTTTTTAATGTTTTATTTATTTTTGAGAGAGAGAACGTGAGCAAGGCAGAGGCAGAGAGAAAGGGAAACCCAGAATCCAAAACAGGCCTCAGGGTCTGAGCTGACAGCACAGAGCCCACTGTGGGGCTCGAACTCACAAACTATAAGATCATGACCTGAGCCGAGTCGGACACTCAACCTTTGAGCCACCCAGGTGCCCCAAAACTCATGTATTCTATTTGGGCCTGCCTCTAGCTTTCCACCCTATTACCCATAGTAGTGATGTTTTATTCAGTAAGAATTGACCTATTGTGGCAACATAAGTTGGTTCAGCTTCAGCTTTTCAGCTAAAACAATGTGTCAAGAGCTTTAAAAAGATCTGCACCCACTGACCCCATAATTCTACTTTTCAGAATTTATTCATGGAATGTGTGCAAAGATTAGCCTCAAAAGTGTTCATTGAAATATTAAATATAAGGGGAAAAATTGGAGAAACCCCAGATATTCTAATAATAGGGAAGTAGTTTAAACGACAATTTATTTATTAATTGGAATACTGTATGTCCATTAATAAGTCATTGTAGCAAAATAGGACACATCAAGACATTGGCAATATATTAAAAGTGAAAAAATGCTAGAAACCAAGGGAGTTATACCCAAGTTTTGTAAATCCAAAAAGAGAAGCCAAAGAAAAAAAGACAAAAATATAATAATGTGTTCATAGTGATTACTTTTGAGTGGTTGGGTTGTTGGTAATTTTATGTTTCTTTTGTCCTTTTGTGTATTCTGATTTTATTTTTTTAATATTTATTTTTGAAAGAGAGAGAGAAAGAGTGCGAGTGGGAGAGGGGCAGAGAACGAGGGAGACCCAAAATCCAAAGCAGGCTCCAGGCCCTGAGCTATCAGAACAGAGCTGAACACAAGGCTTGAACTCCCGAACTGCAAGATCATGACTTGAGCCGAAGTCAGACGCCCAACCTGCTGAGCCACCCAGGCGCCCCTTGTGTATTCTGATTTTAAAGAAGATATATATATCATACTTGAACTAAGAAAATAATAAGTTTACATGTTTGATTTTTTTTTTTAAGATTTTTATTTTTAAATTATCTGAACTTGAACTCACAGTCCAGAGATCAAGAGTCACATGCTCCACTGACTGATCCAGGCAGATGCCCCTGATTTTTTCTTTTATTGACTTTTCTAGAACAGAGGAGCCTGGGGTGGGCTCACTCAGTGGAGCATCTAACTCTTGATTTCACCTCAGGTCATAATCCCTAGGTCATGGGATTAAGCCCTGTATCAGGCTCCATTCTGAACGTGGAGTCTACCTGGGATTATCTCTCCCTCCCCTCCCCCTCCCCTTCTCCCCTCTGCCCTCTTTTCTCCTGCTCCCCTCCCGCATTTGCACTCTAAGATAAAACAGAATAAAATAGAATAAAATAAAATAGGGGCATCTGGATGGCTCAGCTGGTTAAGGGTCTAACTCTTGATTTTGGCTCAGGTCATGTTCTCATGGTTTGTAAGATCAAGCCCCATGCTGGACTTTGGGCTGACAGCTTAGAGCCTGCTTGGGATTCTCTCATTCTCTCTCTCTCTGCTCCTCCCTCATGCTTGCACACCCTCTCTGTCTCTCAAAATAAATAAACTTAAGAAATATATATTTAGAATAATAGAGGTTGACAGGATGTGTCCTGACTTGTGTCACCTGCAAGCTAAAACTGGTTTTTATACTTTTAAAGGATTGGGAAAACAGAAAAAGCAACAGAGAGATTGTAGGTGCCCCACCAAGCTTAAAATTTTTACTGTCTGGCACTTTACAGAAAAAGTGTACAGAACATTGCTGACGCATGTTCTAAAAGTTTCAGGGATTTCATCCTAGCCAGCCTTTCCATCTTTAGGACATAGGTCCAGTTCTCATTCTCTGTCTTTGACTATTTCAATTAAAGATAGGCAGCGAGGGGCACCTGGTGGCTCATGCGGTAGAGCACGCAATTTTTGATCTTGGAGTCATGAGTTCAAACCCCATGTTGGGCATAGAAATTACTTAAAAAAAAATATGCAGTGAATACAGAACATGTAGATTTCTCTTTTGAGCTCCTCTGACTGGGTCCCCCCATCTGCACTCCTATAATACTTGAAGCCAGACAGGCTTTGTTCTTTGAGTAAAGGACTTGGGACAGGGGGCTGCTTCCATAACTCTTCTGCCAGGACTGCCGAATGCAACAAATTCAGACCTGGTTATGGGCCCATCAGATGTGCTGTTCCCTCAGAAGGCCCAGGAGCCCAGAATGGGCCAAAAGAGCTTGTTAGAACAGAGGTTTTGGTGTTTGTGTCTGAATCTTGTTTCCTCCTCTCAGCCCTGAGTACTCCTTGTTTGTGGGGGACCTGACCCCAGATGTGGATGACGGCATGCTGTATGAATTCTTCGTCAAAGTCTACCCCTCCTGTCGGGGAGGCAAGGTGGTTTTGGACCAGACAGGCGTGTCTAAGTAAGACCTCAGCGGTTACTGATGCCCACCCTGGGCCAGCATTTGTCTCTTAGATGGAGGCGTTAGAGCAAGGCTGTGGAGCGCAGTGGTTAAGAGCCTAGGCTCTGGAGCCGGGTGGTCTGGTGTGAGCCCTGGCTCCTATACTGGCTGGGGATAAAGCGGTCAAAAAGCCACCAAACCTCTGACCCTGTTTCCTCATCTGTGAAACAGATGCTGATTGGTAGTATCTGCTCATAGGGCTGATGTCACAGTTACATGATGTGATATCAATAAAGCAATAGGATAGGCTTTATAGGTGTTTGCCTTCTTATTTATTATTGTTCCTTCAAAAGTGGAAAAACCTCAAGAAGGGCTTATTCTTGATCAGAGTAATAGTTACAAGCATGAGCTTGAGTTATAAGCTTGGGGCCTGGATCTGGATCCCGATTTTCCAGTGATGTTGGGCAAGTTATGCAACCCCTCTGACTTTGGCTCCCTCCTAGTAAAATGCAGATACCACCATTATCTAATTGTTGGGCAGTTTGATGAGGTAATCCTGGGCAAATGTTCAGCACAGTGCTGAGAAATAAAAAGTGCTCGTGAAATATTCGCTGCCATTTGTTGATCCCCCAAGTAGAATATGAGTCTAGGAGAGCAAGAACCTTGTCCTCTTAGGGCTGCTGAGCCCCAGTGCCTGGCGCCATACCTGGCGAACAAGGCAGATGTAGGAAGTCTTTGCTCAGTGAACTTCTACAGCTGTTATTACTACCATAATGATGATAATGGAAATAGTATTTCCAGCAGATTGGGAGGGAAGCTGCTGTGTGGGAAGCAGCCCCATCATGAAGGCATGGAGGAGAATGGTGAACTAAAGTAGGGATCCCACTGGATCTCAGGGTCCTCCAGCACTGGAATCTTGAATTGCTCTACCTACAGCACGCCTCCACTGATGGGGCGCTCATCCCTTCCTACAGAGTTTGAGGGACTCTGTCTTTTCTGTTCTTAGACTTTACCTTCATCACATTTGTGATCTAAAAAGTGTGTCTGCTTTTGTTTTCTACAGGGGCTATGGTTTCGTGAAATTCACAGATGAACTGGAACAGAAGCGAGCTCTGACCGAGTGCCAGGGGGCAGTTGGCCTGGGGTCTAAACCAGTTCGGCTGAGCGTGGCGATCCCCAAAGCGTGAGTCGTGCGCCGGCGGGAAGGTAGAGGGCCTCTCTGGACTGTTGCCAACCTGGGCGCTCCTCATCTGCTTGGTGATGATGGGAGCTTCCGCATGCTGGACCGGAGACTGCAGGGAGACATCGTTTAGGTCACAGATAATGAGCACCTGCTACTGGTCAGGCTGTGTGCTGGGCATTGGAGATGAACCAGTAGCCCTGCCCCTCGGGAAGCTTACAGTTGGGAGGGAGCCCTGGCAGGGGAGGCACATGCATTCAGACGTGGCTGGTAGCAGTGCTGGGAAAGCAGCTGGGCTCCGCAGACTCCGTGTTCCTGCTCTTGCCCAGCAGTGTCACCGTTAGAGATTTATCCACAGAACTGGTGAGAACTGAGCAGGTGGAAAAAAATTATACCCAATTTTAGCTATGGGAATAGCTAAGAGTTAATGATCCAAACACTACAGAATATTATTTACATCACTATCATACCTGTCATGCCAGGCAGAGAGCCCTCTTCTCTTACAACTCCAAGCAGGTTTTTCGCTCTCTACATAGAATCTTCTACCCTTTGGCCAAAACCGTGGTTCTCCACTAGGGACAGTTTTATCCCACAGCAGGACATTGGCAACACCTGGAGACACTTTTGGTTGCCACAACTTGTGGGGGAGGGCATCTAATGAGTGGAGGCCCGGGATGCTACTAAATGTCGAACAGTGCACAGCACCATCCTATAGTGCACAGGCCGGCCCCGCACCAAAGACTTGTCTGCCTCGCCCCCAGGTCAGTAATGTGGAGGCTGAGGCAGTCCCTGCCAGGAAGGAAGAGTGGCTACATTCTAGGGGCAGAACTTCAATGCCCAAGTTCTTTTCTCCCCTCCCCTCCCCTCCCCTCCCCTCCCCTCCCCTCCCCTCTTTTTTTCCCGTTGGGTTCTAGTTCTAGGCTGTCAGTTTCCTTCCTTCCTTCCTTCCTTCCTTCCTTCCTTCCTTCCTTCCTTCCTTCCTTCCTTCCTCCCTCCCTCCCTTCCTCCCTTCCATTTATTTTTGACAGAGACGGAGCGTGAGGCAGGGAGGTGCAGAGAGAGAGGGAGACACAGAATCTAAGCAGGCTCCAAGTTCTGAGCTGTCAGCACAGAGCCTGATGCGGGGCTCAAACTCCCGAACAGGAAGGAGATCATGACATGAACCAAAGTTGCCTAACTGACTGAGTCACCCAGGTGCCTCTCTTCCTTTCTTGTTTTTTTTTTTAATGTTTCATTTATTTTTGAGAGAGCCCAAGTGGGGGAGGGGCAGAGTGAGAGACAGAGGATCTGAAGTGGGCTCTGTGCTGACAGCAGTGACCCAATGTGGGACTTAAACTCATGAACCGTGAGATCGTGACCTGAGCCAAAGTCGGGCACTCAACCAACTTAGCCATCAGGGTGCCCCTAAATGGCTAGGTTTTTCAAAGCAGCGAAAGATTCTTTGCAGCTTAACTGTATTTAATACATTGAAGATCAGTTTGAGTGATTTCTCTCCAAAATGTTACTTGTTCTATACTCTACTATATAAAACATTAAAGAAAATATCAAAAGAAATAAATTTCCTCATTGCCCAAAATGACTAATTATGATTTCTGACTTCCAGGCTTCTCCATAGATATCCATGATATATACATACATACTCCATATAGATCAGTTTACATGTGGTAGATTTTTTTTTTTTAATTTTTGTAAATTGTTTTAAAGTTTACTTATTTGTTTTGAGGGAGAGAGTGAGCACTTGTGAGGGGGGAGCAGAGAGAGAGAGAATTCCAAGCAGGCTCCCAGCCACCAGTGTGGAGCCAGACAAAGGGCTCCAGCCCATGAACCACAAGATCATGACATAAGCCAAAACCAAGAGTTTGATGCTTAACCAACTGAGTCACCCAGGCACCCAATCTTTATTCATTTTTTTAAAAATGTTTATTTATTTTGAGAGAGAGAGAGAGAGAGCGAGTACATGCCCACAGGAGAGCAGGGGGAGGGGAAGAGGGAGGCTTTGACCTCATGACCGTCAGATCATGACCTGAGCTGAGATCAGGAGTCAGACACTTAACCAACTGAGCCACCCAGGTACCCCTTTTTATTCATTTTTAATTACAGTAACAATGCTCATTCTTTTTTCCCCCAGTTTCCCTCATATACACATTCCCTTTCCCACACAGCTCTACAGTCTCCGCCATAATTTTTTTAATAGCTTCAAGGTATTTTGACTGTATATTCTGTCTCAAGGTTCCTCAGATGTTGCCGGTGTTGGTTGTTTCTGATTTGTTACCATTTATTCAGTCAACAATAACTGAGTTCCTACAGCTCTGCAGGCCCTGATGTAGACTTTGGAGTTGTAGCTTTAAATAAGAGAAACAAAGTGTGTTCTGCAAGGAGGTTATGTTCTGTTTGGTTGATCGTTGTCAGAATTTGGTGCCTGCCTCTAGGGAGGCTCCCTCAAGCCCTGGGAATTGAGGGTGGTAAGAGTTCCCTTTGAGAGTTCCATCTGTAAGAGCTGAGTGTGGAGAAACAACAGAAATGTGCAGACCCAGGCCAAGGAGACAACCTTCAATTACATGAACATATCAGGAGGGTGGCAGGGTAATCATGGAGGAGACCATTAGCAATTTCCAGCCTCACGCTGGGCAGGGAGAGGAAGTCTGTGCCATTAGACTTCATCTAGCCACGCCATCAGGAGGCGATGCTAAGACGGGTCAGACATGGAGTCGTCTCACTCCTCTAGCCGAGTCCTGCTCACCAGGCCAGTGTTGCACTCGGAAGGAACTTGAGCTCACTCAGACTTTGAGAATTTGTGGTTCCTGTGACAGGATTGCTGTGGGATGCCACCTCCTGCTTATGACTCAGTTTCCTCTTCTGGCTTCACTGTAGAGATCGAATATACTAATCATGAGGACACAAGTGCATTCCACACCGCGTGATGGTTACGATTCCCCTTATAAGCCAGATGGCGTGGTGGTGTGAGCCCCTGCCTCCTCACGTTTCATGTGCACTGATGAGTCTGGCTTTTAGGAGTGTGATGACTCTGGAAGCACATTGCCACGTTGTTCTTTTGATTTCGTCCCACCTAGGACTGCTGGTCGTAACCCAGGCCTGCCTCATAAGCCTACTTATGCATGATTTTGTATACTTTTGAAAGCAATGGATCCTTTGCAAGCTTGACATTCTTTTCTTTTCTTTTTTTTTTTCAGTTCTGTTTTTTTTATTTTAAAAAATATATTATTTTTTTACAGTATTTTTAACTTAAACACTGTTCACACTGAACACGTATGGCAGCTTAACCCACCCAAGAGTGAAGTTTAAGAAGCCAAAACTCTTCTAGTTTTGTTAAAAGAAAAGTTGTGCCACAGACCATTGTAGTGATTGATGGTTAACAAAGCAAGGAAAAGCACCAGTCAAATCATGTTAGAATCTTTTTGTTCAAGTGGATTATGGTGGGTCAGATGTTGCACTTCGCATAGGCATGGCTATGATGCAGTGACTCCTTAGAAGATGCAGTTCTCAAATTATATACTTGCTCAGCTATAACATTAGGAGAATTCACTATTTCTTATGTGATAACATAAAAATAGGACTAGTTCTCATTGTGAGCATTACCTTATAACCTCAGTAACCAAAGACATACTTGTCTATAATGAATTATTTCAAATTAACTAACAAGGCCTTCTTCAGAAAAAGGAAATTCTTCTTGATTTTCCTTTTTCTGAAAAGGAAATTTAACAAATGCAAATTTAAGTCTAAAATGAGAAATTTGCCTAACAACCTGAACTTAAATGTACTCATTTAAAAAAATAGTTTAGGGGCACCTGGGTGGCTCAGTCAGTTGAGCGTCCAACTTTGGCTCAGGTCATGATCTCACGGTTCATGGGTTCAAGCCCCGCATCGGGCTCTGTGCTGACAGCTAGCTCGGAGCCTGGAGCCTGCTTCGGATTCTGTGTCTCCCTCTCTCTCTGACCCTCCCCTGCTCATGCTGTCTCTATCTCTCTCTCAAAAAAAAAAAAAAAAAAAAATAGTTTAGACATTAACAACTGTTCACTAACCTTAAGGAACCAATTTAGCCTCAAAAAAGGCCATTTTCTAAGATTTAGAGGTCATTTTAATTTGGTGCTTTGTTACATCTTGACTGGTGCTTCTTTTCTCGCTGTCTTCACATCAAGCCATGGGGCCAATACTATTCTCAGTAAATGTCTGACAGCTTATTACTTAATAACAGTCTCAGCACTTTTATTAAGCATCCAAGACTAACAAAACGTTGGCAAAGCTTAAGTGTAACACAGTGATGAGAGAGCTTTTACAGTGAAGTCTTCTCTAACACTGCCTTCCCAGTGTGGAAATTGTGCTACATCCACCAAAAGAGGGCCCCATCTACTCAAATATTTCAGTACTTCACCCCAGGAAAAAACTCCTTTGCATTTAGATTCAGATTGCTCTTGACCACAAGATTTTCCAGAGAAGAGCCATCACAGATAACAAGGTCATTACATTGGTCTTGGATTTGGTCCATAGTTTGTGGGAGATCTTGAGCCAGAATAAACCACTCATGTTCCTCTTCTTCCAGCATTTCTTGGAAACAGCGTTCAATAAATTCTTCTTCCCATAACTTCTGTCTGTTGAATTCCTCTTCATTTCCCATCCACATGTACACTGCAAATGGATTGTCATCTTCATTAGAATGACCATTTGTAATGACATCTTTGTTGATGTTGCTTGGGCTAGTACTGCTGAGACTTGGATCTTTCATGGTTGGCTAGTTGGTTAGTTGTTGTTTTTAACCCAGTGCGTGGCAGCGGGGACAGCAGCCAGCGAATCCGCTCAGCCTCCACGGGTCTCCACAGGCCACCAACTTGACATTCTGTCTTTGATTAGCAGTGGCTGCGGTAGCCATGCAAGCAAGAGAAGAAAGCTGTCCGCTGAGCCTGGGCCTCGGCCCTGAATTGTGAGTGCAGGATATAGGAGCCTGGCAAGATGTCTCACATCTGTCAGAGCAGGTGCTGTAGGTAATGATGTGGTGTTCAGAGCATGAGCCTTGGAGGTAAATTTGGCTCCAGTCCTTGGTGTGGCCTTGGGTAAGTCACTGAATCTTATAGAGGCTCAGTATTCTCATCTGTATAATAGGAATAATACATAATAAATCTGCCAAAGGGCTGTGTGGGACTTAAGATAGGAGACTGTATATGAAAAGCAACAGGCCCAGATCCCGAATACCTACTCCATAAACGGTAGCTGGGACTACAGTGGTGACACTAGGCTACCGGAACGCTCGGGCGCGCGTGTGCACGAGTGTGTGAGTGTGTGTAAAAGGGGATTAGACATTTTATAGTTTGAAAAGCTGCTTGGATCACCCTAAATCCAGATTTTCCAGGCCATGTTCACCTGAGCCTTTGCGGGTGGCAGAACAACAGCCCCCCAAGATGTTGAGAAGAGGACAAGTCTGTACTGACAAGATTTGATAAGAGAGAAAACCTAACCACTAAAACTCCTGACTGTGGGGGCACCAGGGTGGCTCATTCAGTTAAGCATCTGTTTCTGATTCTCAGTTTGGGCTCGGGTCCAGATCTCACAGTTTCGTGAATTCGAGCCCCATGTATGGCTCTGAGCTGACAGTAGGGCTCCGAGCCTGCTTGGGGCTCCTTTCCCTGCTTTCTCTGTCCCTGCCCAACTCGTGCTGTCTCTCTCTCTCTTTCTCTCTCAAAATAAACAAACTTAAAAAATAAAAATAAAAACAAATGTCCTGACTGCAAAGCCTGGGCTCTAGGGCCAGGCTACCTGGGTGTGGATCTCCTATTAGCTGTGTGGCTTTGGACGAATTATGTGGCCTGTCTGTACCTCAATTTCCTCATCTAAAATAGGAATAATGTATTGTTATTGCATAGGGTTGTTGTGGGTTTTGAATGAGTTGATCTGCATAAAGCACTTAAAACAGCCCCTGGCCACATAGTGTTATGGAAACATTTGTCTACATGTGTTTATTTTTGGTTCTTTCTTCATTTAAGGAGCCGTGTGAAGCCAGTGGAATATAGTCAGATGTACAGTTACAGCTACAACCAGTATTACCAGCAGTACCAGAACTACTATGCCCAGTGGGGCTATGACCAGAACACAGGCAGCTACAGCTACAGCTACCCCCAGTACGGCTACACGCAGAGCACCATGCAGGTAACTGTGATTCGTGTCCTTTTGGGTGTGTCGTCCTCCAGCATGGCATCGGTAAGGGTGGCAGCTTGGGCTTGAGAAAAAATGGGCAAGAGGAAGCAACCGAGTTCCTCTTGTTAAAAATACGGCCTCCCTGCCTTGGGCCAGGAGTTGACGCTGCTTCTCATCCCCTCTCTGGTCTCTTGGCAGACATACGAAGAAGTCGGGGACGACGCTTTGGAAGGTAAGAAAGGAGTTTGCTCACTCATTCCTCTGTCGTCTGTCAGCCGTTGTCGGGTGACTGGTCTGTGGCTGGCGCTGTGCCTGTAGGTGGGTGCTGAGGAGTGCGATGTGGAGTCAGCTCTGGAGGAGATTGCCTTCTGGTGAGAGAACTAGCGCCTGCATAATTATAGTAAGAAGTGAGTATGTTCCCCGGTGGGGTGGTGTCCGTACAGGTCCCAGAGAGTCCCGACGGAGCAGCTCAGCAGGGGAGAGAGCGGGTCACTCCCTAGACGTGATGTAGGTCTCCAGTAAAAGTAGCGCTTTGTATTTGTCTGATGGTTTGTAAAATTCATTTTTTGATTCTGTGTTTTAATTTTTTTTATATTTTACATTACATTTTTTCCTCCCCTTTTAAAGTTTATTATTTTTTTTTATTTCTGAGAGACAGCATGAGCAGGGGAGGGGCAGAGAGGGGGAGACACAGAATCTGAAACAGCTCCAGGCTCTGACCTGTCAGCACAGAGCCCAACATGGGGCTCGAACCCACGAACTGTGAGATCATGACCTGAGCCGAAGTCGGACACTTAACCGACTGAGCCACCCAGGCGCCCCAGTCCATTTATTTATTTATATAATCTCTACCCCCAATGTGGGGCTTGAACTCATGACTCTATCAGGACTCACATGTTCACTGAACTGAGCCTGCAAGGTGCTCCTCTCATTTTCAAGTAATAGTTACTAACCATTGAAAATTTGGAAAATACAGATATTTAAGAAAATATTTATGTAATATTTAAGAAAATATTTAAATATTTAAAAATATTTAGAAAGATGCTTAACTGAAGAAAAATATTTAAAAAGTCAGATGCTTAACCAAAGGTACCTGTCACTGGTTTTTAATTTTTTTTCATGCAATTCCAGTATAGTTAACATAGTGTTACTAGATTCAGGTGTAGTGATTTCAACAATTATGTACATTCCTCAGTGCTCATTGTTGTTAATGTACTAACAGAATCACCATTTGTGAGGTCCAGTCATTGTATGCAGCTGAGCTTCATTTTCATTGCTATGTAATGTTCCCCTTTTAAGAACAGTACTTTGGATTTAGTAATTTTAATCAGATTTCCAGAACCCAAAATCTCAGTGAGGACCACGCCAGGAAAGCCAGGCCACAGGAAGGCTAGAGGGGGGATAACAGCCGCTATTAGAGTACTAACTACATGTTCCATTCTCGAAGTAGCTTCTATTTTCATCCTCAGAGGAAGCCTGCCAGGCCGTGGTATCCACCCCAGGAACTTGCTGAGGGAACAGGAAGTCCCGGGAGGAGGGAACAGAGCCCAAGTGTCCTTTGGCGCTCTGAACGCCCTCTTGCTTTCCTTGCAGACCCCATGCCGCAGCTGGATGTGACGGAGGCCAACAAGGAGTTCATGGAGCAGAGCGAGGAGCTGTACGATGCACTGATGGACTGTCACTGGCAGCCCCTGGACACAGTCTCTTCAGAGATCCCTGCCATGATGTAGTCAGGACAAAGGACAAGCAGAAATAGACTGTGTGATGGAGATGAGAGACTCCTTTTTAACAAAAGTATTGAAAGAACTTTTACCTTTTTGGAAACGTTTTGTAAGATTTTACTTATCAACTCTTCAGATTATGACAATTCCTGCAACACTACTCCCTTCACTTAATAGCCTTTGGAGTTTGAAAACCAAGGTGCCGTTAAACAAGGTTTTCCAATTTGTCTTTGAACAAGAATTGTCCACGTAGGGTTATCTACACTCTGACAAATTTGTGGATATAATTTATTCAACCCAGGAGCCTTTCTTGGCTTACTGTAGAAAGCCTTTCTATGTCCTTACCCCTTGTGAAGTCAGAATGCACTGATTACTTGCTGTTAGCCAGCCAAGTGGCGGGCAATGTTGACCTTCCATTTCAGGCACCCTTGCTGCCACCCCCTAGGTTTGGTGGCTGGGAACATTGAAGTCTCTTAAGACACTCCAGCTGGGAAGGAGGCTGCGTGGCATGTGGTAGGAAGTCATGGAACCAGCTACATCTAGACCAAAAGACTCGAGAGTGAGGGCATGCTCCAAGGGCAGGCCTGGCTTTGAAGCCTTTGTAGAGCATGATCATCGGCATCTGTGTGCCTGACCCACCTTGGCCCACCTGAATTTCATTCAGTAGGTATGAATCCTCTTACATCTATCTCCAGCACCCATGTGGGAAATCTGGACTTATACCAAATAAGTCCATTTTATTTCTACTTCTATGTTAAAGGAAATTGTGGAGTGGGGTGGGGAGAACCTTGAGGCAAATGGCCTAGTCACAGCCTTCAGCTATTTTAGGGGCACTGAGTGGCTCAGTCAGTTTGGTTTGAGAGTCTGACTCTTGGTTTTGGCTTCTGGGATTGACCCCTGAGCCCTGCATTGGGATCCGGGGAGCCTAAGATTCTCTCCTTCTAATAAAGATATTTTTCTAAGAACACCAGTCTTTGGCTCAGTCTGAATTTTCATGGTTACTGAACGAGACAGTTACAAAATAGAAGTTACAGAACTGATCATGTTATCCTTTGAGACGTTAACCTTTATTAAAAAATTGACACCATAATGGGAAATAACCAGCAGTCTGAGGGACATCAAGATAGATACGGACACAAGCATACTTTTTTAAGTCTTTTATTGGTTGCTTACATACCACATGCCAGCATTAGCAGAAATACAAAGGTCATGGTTTTCCACCGAAAACAGCTTGCCTTTTCCCATAAGGTCGCTCCTGAAAAGAAGTGTAAGCCCGTGTGTTAATATTCTCCTAGTTAGTTAGTTAATGTCACCCAGGCCTTCACCAAACTGGTCTCAGTCCCATATCCGCATTTATCATCCACAGATGTCCACTCAGATTAGATTTCATCCTCGACCAGTCAGTCTAAAAAAACAGCACCCTGAGCTAGAAGAACTACTTGTTTCTACCCAACCCATATCCCACACTCCCAGGAAAGGGGCCAGTTAAGATTCCACGATTTGAGGTTTCCCCAGACCTCAGAGCATGAGCTCAAACTACTACTGTACATTCACAGCAATCAGCCTCTGCTGAAGGTACAGGGCTTTGGTATCTGGTACCTTCTACTCGCAGCACATTGTGCTCTTCTTGGCCTTCCAACAGGGTGGGCAAATCTAACATACCAAATCACACCAAACATTTTTCTCTTCTGGCCATGAACAGCTGATAGGTGTAAGTGATGTAGCATGAAAAAGCTAAGTCTTTCCCAAAGGCCTAGGCCGCCTTTTGATTCCACTACTTTGGGCTCACAACTCTCCACTGCTTGACACTACAAGGAAGTGAAGTTTCAGGTAACCAACTTACCCGACTACAGCTCCATAATCAGAGGAGGACAGCTTTACTGGTAACAGATCTAAAAGACCAGAAAGGACACTCAATCAAGAGGCAAGAAAGCCATTCATACTGATCAAATCCAGAAGTACTAAGTCAGCCGTCACTACAGCTGCCCCAAGCTTCACCTACATCCTCCCTTTAACCCTAGGCTTATCCCATTTCCCAGGGGAGGAGGAAACCAAAGAGAATTCGAACCTTGTTTGAAGCTGGCCCCTAAGCTATATACCAGACTATAAGCACTGGGAGGTCAGCTTCCATGTTCCTTTTCCTCCTTGTACGACCACCAAGACCAGTGTGCAGATCTGATGGGAAAGGGAACTGGAGGGGCAGGCTGTCCTGGACATCTAACTTTACCTTCCCCAAAGCACAGCAACCTGGGGTCTTCAGATTCTTCAGTTCCAGACACTGCCGGGGCACTTGGGGACAACCTGCAGAAAAAAGCATGAAGGCTCTAATCCAACACAAAGTTGAGCCAATGTGCCCATCGACGTGGCAGCTTATGGACTCACGTCGGCGGCTTCCAGCCCAGCTCCGGAGGCAGATATAGGAAAGGCGAGTGGCAGCTACAGGTACTATGCTGACCTGTGCTGTCAAAGTCTCTCCAGGTTACTCTCGCATGCAGTTGGAGATCCCATGGCCACGGCCGGCCACAGCCCTTGGAAACATGCTGGACTGACCCTCAGGCAGTTCCCAGAAACCTACCAGGTCCTGCGGCGGGTGTGTTCCATCACAAAGTCCTCACCAGAAAGGTCAACGTCAGGGTCATCCTGGAATCTTCATCTGGCACAGCTAAGAGGAGAACACAGTTGTCCTGAATGACACTGTTCCCTTCTTCTGGTCTTCAGAATCAAAACGTTTGACTGGCTTTTGACCCTGGTACTTATGCCTTAAGCTTTTTGTGGCAGTGACCCGAAGCACTGTTTTAAGATCTGTGCCACTTGCCATGCCCAACCCACTCCCAACTCCCTGCCCCTCCATACTCCTTGGTCTCAGCAATCTACTTTTTTCCAAGTTTTTTAATCTTTATTTTTGATAAAACACGAGTAGGGGAGGGGCAGAGAGAGAGGGAGACACAGAATCCCAAGCAGGCTCCAGCCTCTGAGCTGTCAGCACAGAGCCTGACCCGGGGCTGGAACCCACAGACTGTGAGATCGTGAGCTGAGGTGAAGTCGGTCACCCAACCAGGTGCCTCTCAACAACTTACTTAAGTTTTATTCTAGCACCTATACGTCTATTAAGAGAACATTTCTCTTGGCCTCTGGAAACCTGTCAATTGTAATAAAGAACTGCACCTATGCCTGAGAAACGGCAGGTACACTGGGATTTGTCTTTTCCTGATATGTTGCAGATCAGTTACAGCAAACAGAACGGCGACCGTCAAGGAAAACTGTCACTCTGGGCTCCTTTTTGACCACAGCAGCTATGTGGAAGCAGCTGCAGCTTCGATAAGGGCCACAGGGCAATTTAGGTCTCAGGGCAGCCTCAAATGCTGTCCAGCCCTCAGACTGACCTAAATCCTGTGCACTATTGCTTAACTGTAACTCACGTACGGAGACCTGGAGACCAAATGAGAGAACAGATATCCCATTACCAGGTCCCAATTACCACCTTACTTTGCTAAGCACCAGTGTTTTGTCTCATTTAATATCTCTCCAGGACCATTTTATCATCCGTTTTACGGACAGGTTTAAATTAAGCTACTTACTGAAAGTCGCCAATCCCTGCAGAAAGCCACAGAACTGGGACTCAAAGTAGCATCTAAAGGACTCGACCTCCAGAAACCTTTTTATCCACCTGCATGAATTCCTTGACATGTTGTGCAGCCAGATAACAGGTAAAGTCACTTCCCCAAGGTCACCCAATAGGTAACTGTTACGGGCGACCTCGCTGACACCACCACGCGGCGTCTCTCTAGTCGGTTCACTTAGAGGCCCAGGACTGCCCTGCACCCCGCAGCCTGCCCGCGTTACTCACCCGTCACACCGCAGCGCCGGGACGCGCGGGCCGAGGCGGGAGCAGGCGCGGCCCTCGCATGGTCCGGCCCCTCGCACTGCGCATGCGGCCGCACAGGCCTTGCGGACCTCGGTCCGGCAACTGCATGCCGCGCTCAACATCCCTCAGCCTTGGGAGGCAGCCCGGGCGAGCGAGGGGCCGGTGGCGGCGAAGCTAAAATAGGGCAAGTGCGAGGATGCGCGTGACTTGCAGCAGGTCTCAGGTAAGGGCGTAGGAATACCCGCACGGCGGCAGGGAAAAAGGACGTCCGTAGGCTGGGAGAGGCCTTTTATAGGTCTCGCCCTGGGCGGCCGCGCCTGACCACCGCAGCAACGCGCCCGCGCAGACCTCTGGGAGTTGTAGTCCGCCCTCGGGTGCCGCGAGGCCCTCCAGGCTCTGAGCTCTAAGCGCGTGCGGAGTCGCTGTCTTCTCGCCGGGAAGAGAGCAACCTTGCGCCGGTGTTCCGCACTCGCTGAACGGCTGGGACTCGGCACTGGACTCACAAATGAAGCCACTCGCCATGCCCGCTGGAGCTCAGTCAGACTCCCAAAGGCAGGAAATGAGCGGCGTCAGGGCTTCGCTCCGACCGCTGGGGGCCGGCGGAAGAGCAGCCGCCGAGTGGGTGTGGGGAGGGGCTCCTCCTGGAAGCGCGGCTCTTGGGGAGGGGACCGATTACTCAGAAGATGAATGTATTATTTGTTCATCTTCCCGCTAATAGATACGTAACTTTGCTGAGCACTTGATTATGCTCGATTAGTTCTCTCAGCTAGTTCCCCTAACAACCCTGTGTATAGGTTTATAGTTACGCCCTTTTTACAGATCCGAAAACTGAGGGATGGATCACGCAGGTACGAGGAAAGGGCTGGAATCCACGAGTCCACCGCAGAGACCACGCTCAGAATCACTGCGCCTTGTACATGTTTTGTCCGTGGAATGAATAAGCGTCAATGTAAAAACAAGTAGTTGTCAAGAATTAAATACCTATTCTGTGCTTAATCTATTCATTAATCTTTATCCTTAATATACGCATTAAAAAGTAGGCACTAGTATTGTTCTCATTTAATAGAGAAAACAACAGACTGTGAGGGGACAAGAAACTTTCTGGTGACTTTCAAATGAGTGTCTCCAGCCTTAATTTTCTCCTGAGCTCCAGACCTTATATTCTGCAGCGTCCCTGAACATCTACACTTGGCTGTCTAATAAATGGGCTTCTCAGAACACAACTTTCCCTCCTCCACACTTGTTCTTCCCAATCTCAGTAAGTCCTTGGAGTGATCCTGGACTCCTCTTTCTCAAACCTCCCGCTTACAATCCATCAGCAAATCCTTCGTTCGTTCCCCACCTTTCAGATGTGGCAGGAATCTGACCATTTCTTACCACCTCCACTGATGCCGTCATTGCTGACCCACAATCACAGTAGCCTCCTAATTAGTCTCCCTGATTCTGCCATTCTCCCCTATAGCCTGGGCTCAACACATCAGCCCCTGGTGTTTAAAGAACAAAAGGTTTTAATTTTGATGAAGTCCGGTATGTCCATTTGTTTTCTTCAATGCTTTGTGCTTTTTGTGTCCTATTTTAAAAATCTTTGCCTAACCGAAAAGCGCTGAAGATTTCCCCCTGTGTTTACATCTAGAAGCTTAGGAGTTCTAGCTCTTACAATTAGACCTAGGATTCCTTTTATAGTTAATTTTTGTGTGTGGTGTAAGAGTCAGGTTGCTTATTTACTGCATCTGGCTCTCCAATTGTTTCATCTTCATTTTTTGAAAAAGATTATCCGTCGAATGGCTTTGACACCTTTGTAAAAATCAACGAGCTGTATGTGTAGGTCTGTTTCTCTACTCAGTACTACACTGTCTTGGTTACTGTAGCTTTTAAATAAGTTTTGAAATAGGGTACTCTCTGTCATCCAACTTTGTTCTTGTTTTTCAAAATTGTTTTAGCTGTTCAGTCTTTTGCATCTCCATATAAATTTTAGTATCAGATAAATTTGTATTTTTTTTAATGTTTATTTTTCAGAGAGCTTTCATGTACATGGGAGAGGGCCAGTGAGAGAGGGAGACAGATCTGAAGAGCGCTGTGCTGACAGCAGAGAGCACGATGCGGGGCTTGAACAGACCATGACCGGAGCCCCCTAATTTGTATCTTTTAAAAACCCTACTGGTTGGGGAGTGCCTGGGTGGCTCAGGTGGTTGAGCGTTGGACCCTTGACTTTGGCTCAGGTCATGATCCCAGGGTCGTGGGATCAAGCCCCGAGTCAGGCTCTGTGCTGAGTGTGGAGCCTGCTTAAGATTCTCTCCCTCTCTCTCTCTCTCCCCCTCCCCTCCTCTTGCATGCTCTCTCTCTAAAATATAAAAATAAAAAATAAAAGCCTACTGGGATTTGGTTGGAATTGCATTGAATCTGTAGACTTAATTTGGGGAGAACTGACAACAATCTTTTTTTTTTTCTTTTAATATTTATTTACTTTTGGGAGAGTGCAACCAAGGAAGGGGCAGAGAGAGGGGGACAGAGGATCCAAAGCGGGCTCTGTGCTGACAGGCTGACAGCAGTGAGCCCGATGTGGGGCTTGAACTCATGAATGATGACCTGAACTGAGGTCTGATGCTCAACCGACTGAGCCACTCAGGTGCCCCTGAGAACAATCTTGAGTCCTCTCATCCATGAGGATGGTATACCTCTCCATTTATTTAAGTCATCTTTAATTTTTCTCAACACTGTTTTGTAATTTTCAGCTTACAGATCTTCTTTTGTCAAATTTATCCCTAAGTTTTTGTATTTCTGATGCCACCGTAAATGGTATTTTTGTCCATTTCAAATTCTAAACGGTTATTGTTAGTATATATAGAATTAATTTTTGCATATTAACTTTTATCCTTGCTAAACTCATATATTAGTTTTAGCAGCTCTTTTGTAAATTCCTTAAGATTTTTCACATGTCTGTAAATAAAGACAGCTTTACTTCTTCCTTTCTAGTCTGGATGCCTTTTCTTTCTTTTTCTTGTCTTTTAATATTGGCTAGGACCTCCAGTACAATATTGCATTAATAAGTTATGTTTCATCAAAATTAAAACTCTCCACACGGTGGGAGTGACACCTGAGTGGCTCAGTTGGCTGAGTGTCCGACTTTGGCTTAGGTTATGATCTCACGGTTTGTGGGCTTGAGCCCCACATCAGCCTCTGTGCTGACAGCACGGAGCCTGCTTTGGATTCTTCGTCTCATTCTCTCTCTGCCCCTCCCCTCTCTCTGTCAAAAAAATAAACATTTAAAAAAAGCAACTCAGGTGGGGGGCAGTTAGGAGAGGAGAATTAAAAAGGGACACGGGGAAACTTTTTGGCATGATACATGGTTGTGGCCATTGTTTCATGGATATACACGCCCATCAAAACTCATCACATTGTACACTATCATATATGTACAGTTTCCTGTGTGTCAAGTATACCTCAATAAAGATATAAAAATAAAACCATAACCAAGAAAAAATGTATTATTCACCTGCTCAAAAATCTGCACTGATTTTGCAACACATTTGGAATAAAAGCTGAAGTCCCATGATGGCCTCTGAGGCCACAGATGATTTGGTTCCTCCTCCTCTCTGCCCTCATCACCCACCACTTGCTCCCACATTCATTCTGCTCCCTTTCCTCGGCCTCTCCGCTCTGCTTGTAGCACCCTTGCCTGATCCCACCTCAGGGCCTTTTCTCTTGCTGTTCTCCTGCCTGGGACTATCCTCTCCGGATATCAGAGACCACACATTACTCACCTCTTCACTTTATGCCACCTCCTCAGAACACCCTATTTTTTTTTTTTTAATATTTTTATTTATTTCTAGGAGAGAGAGAGAGACAGCGTGAGCAGGGGAGGGTCAGAGAGAGAGGGAGACACAGACTCTGAAATAGGCTCCAGGCTCCCGAGCTGGCAGTCAGCACAAGAGCCCGACGCGGGGCTCGAACCCACGAACCGCGAGATCATGACCCAAGTGAAAGTCGGACGCTTAACCGACTAAGCCACCCAGGTGCCCCCAGAACACCCTATTTTGATATAGCACCCTGCCACCCTTCGAGCCATTGTCCTGCATGATTATTATTTACAGCACTTACCGCTTCCTGACATCACTTTATACATGGATTTATTTTCTGTCTTCCCCATTACAATGTGAGCTCCCAACAACAGGAATTGTGTCTTTTTATCTTCACTGCTGTGTAAGTGCCCGGTTTATATAAGAGACAGCACTTTTTGAAACAATTACTAAGTTAATGAATGAATGAATGAATGAATGAATGAATGAAATGTGGCCAAGACCACATAACTGGTAAGTGTCAGTTGGAACTAAAACCTATACCTACCTAATGTAAATGTGCACTGCTCACTGGCCATGTGATATGGCTCCTCCATAACTACTTTGTGAGGTGGGCACCCGGATCTGCCTTACTTAGCAGAAGGGGAAGCAGGATTGGGGGGAAAATCACTTTCCTCACCCTAATCACATAGCGAGTCTATGGCAAGGTCAGCTGACATCTGGACTCTGGTGCTAGGTGCAGAGGTCAGGCACATGACCCTAGCCCACAGCAAGAGTGTCCAGGAGAGGAAGTTCAAAGAGTCTAGTGCTGACAGTGCACTGCCCACATGTGTGAACCACAAAGGCTTCTGGGAATATTGGGTTCAAATTGCATTTCAAGCTGTTTCATGCCTCTCTGCCTTTGCCCAGATGCCCCTGCCTGGAGCGCCCTTCCTCTTTGACCTCCCCAGCTTGTCCTTGGGGACTCAGCGTCAGCATCATCTCCTACACAAGGTCTTTTCTGACCCTGTAGCTCCCTGAGTCCAGCTCTATTGTGGGATTTGACCGACTGAATTAATGAATAAATAGCATGCACCCACTTTTATTCACTCATTCAACCATAAATATTTACTGAGTTCGTGTTTTGTGCCACGCACTGAGGATGCAATCATAGATCACTGCCCTCAAGTAACCTAGGAGGGAGATGGCACAGTGGCCAAAAGTTCATGTGACCTCATTGGCCAGTTGGGAAGAGGCTTCTGAAGGACAGGGATCTAATCTAAGGTATGAAGTAGGAGAGGGGCCCTTTGAAGAGAGAGGAGTGTTCCTGGCAGAAGGTTGAGAAGAGGAAAGATGTTGAGTATGGCTGGAGCTCAGAGTACCAGTGGTGGGTAAAGAGGCGGCTAAGGGCTGGGTGCCTGGGAGGCTCAGTCGGTTAACTGTGACTCGGTTTCATCTCAGGTCATGATCTTATGATTCCTGGGTCCAGATTCTGCATGGTCAGCACAGAGCCTGCTTGGGATTCTCTCTGGCCCCTCTCTCTGCCCTTCCCCCACTCTCTCAAGCATATGTGCATGCATGTGTGGTGGGGGGGGCGCTCTCTCTGTGTCAAAATAAATAAAAAAGGAGGAAGGGGGGGAGGGGGAGGAGGAGGCTGGCGCATCCGTAGGGACCTGACACACAAAATATTTTTCCAGCTGAACAGAGGTGGGGAGCATATCTCAATGGAGGAATCAGTGGACCAGGTGGGAGTGGAGCGGACTCTTGATTTGAGCAAACCTGGCAGGAAGGATTCCTTCTCCAAACACACACCCTTCTGAGGCTCCTCTCTCTCTCCTACTCCTAGAGGTCGGGAAGGAGCAGAGACACGGGCCTTTTCAGGCTCTACCCTGCAGGTGACCAATGACTGAGATTAAGTGGAGACCCATCAAAATGGCTTCTCATTGTTTTGTTAGGAGTTAGCCAGAAGAGGGGCACCTGGCTGGTTCGGCTGGTAGTGCACGTGACTCTTGATCTCAGGGCTGTGAGTCTCATGCTGGTGTAGAGATTACTTACTTACTTACATACATATATACATACACACACACACTTAAAAAAAAAAAAAAAAAAAACAAACAAAGAGCCAGAAGAAAACTTGGGCCTTCCTAGATCCAACCAGAAACAGAAATAGCAAACAAGGCTTTGCCCTTGGGTAAATTTGGCAGCTAGTCTGTATTCCCTGAGGAGTGACCTTGGATTATTTAACCTCTCTGGGCCTCAGTTTCCTCATCTGTGGAAATGAGCAGAATAACACCTAACTCACCAGGTGAGAAGGAAATAGGATGTAATTGTTTGCAATGGTGAGGATTTCCCCTCATCACCAATTTGCCAAAACAAGTTAAACGTAAAACTCACCCACAGTGGGACAGTGGAATTAAACCACTAGACAAGCTGTTTGAGACCAGCCAGAACTTGAGCCTTGATGCCCTGGGTTTCCAGAAGTCCTGACCAGAGAGAGTAGAGTGGATCTTGGAAGCAGCTGTCCCTGCCTTACCCTTGCCACTAACTCAAATGGGACCTGACCACTGCGCCCTGATAACTCTTGGTACTTGATTTGCAGTCCCCTTTCGTGGCATCAAGGGGGTGATGAAGATTAAGACAAACTGAGATGTGAGTCTCAGCTATGCTCTGTGACCTGAGACAAGCCTCAATCTCCTCAGCTCTAAAATGGGCACACAGCGGCCCTCTCAAAGCTGTTGCCTGCAGAGTGCTAAGAACTGACTATCTGGCCTCATAAATGTTAATTGTCAAGGCCCCAGGCCAGCTTCACTCCCTCTGGAATCCCGTTTGTCTGTCCTGCCTCCTCTACCAGCCCAGTCTCTTTCTGGGCCCTGAGGCCCAGCCCAGGCCGGTGCTGAGGATGCAATGGGGGTTGTTAAACATTGAACCTGACCATGGAACGGGAGGCCCTAGGCCAGGGCCAGTGGGGCTCCAGGAAAGGAGCACATGGGCGAGGACGGGGCATCTAGAAACCATCTACTTTCTAGAGTGGCGTCTCCAGGTCCAGCAGCAGGGGCCCAACCGGGGAACTGCCTGGGCAGTGGGGCTGGAGAGAAGCCAGCACGGCGCCAGCCGGCGACTGAATGAGGTGGACCAACGCCCTGGCGGTGTCGGTCTCCCGCCAGTGCCCGTCTGGTTCTCCTTCCTCGCTCTTCCTCCAACCCACACTGCCTCCTTTCATCTCTCATCCTGCGAAGTAGGGGTTATTATCCCCATTTTGGAAGACGAAACTGGGGCTCAGAGAGGCGAGCACGTGCCCGGGTGTCTCGGCTGCCCGGCCTCCTGGGTGGGTCCCCAGCAGAACGCGCCCCCACCCCCGCCTCCCCCATCTCCCGGCCCCGCGGTCCAGTGTCCCCGCGCCGGGGCCCAGGGGGCGGCGCCAGCCTGCGGGCCCCGGGGCGGGGCGAGGCCGGGCCGCTGGTCTCTGGCTACAGGGCGGCGGGATCGGCGAGAAGGGGGCCATGGAGGCACGGGAATGCAGCTACCAGTTCCGGATCGCGCTGCTGGGGGACGCGGCCGTGGGCAAGACGTCGCTGCTGCGGCGCTACGTGGCGGGAGCTCCCGGGGCCTCGGAGCGCGAGCCGGAGCCCGAGCCCGAGGGGGCGCCCACGGTGGGCGTCGAGTTCTACAGCCGCAAGCTGCAGCTGCGGGCCGGGCCGCGCGTCAAGCTGCAGCTCTGGGACACCGCGGGCCACGAACGCTTCAGGTGCGGGCGGGGCGGGGGTGAGAGACCTGGGGGTGGTCAGTGCCCCCGCCCTCCACGGCTCCCCCCCACCCCCCCGACGGGGTCGGCCTCACTGCCCAGGTACAGGTCTGGCGAATGCCCTGGTCTCCGGTCCCTCACTCGGAGTCCTTCCACAAAGGCAGCCAGTGGCCCGAGACCCGGACGCTGGGAGGGCAGAAGGGCCCCGCCCGGGAAACCTGGAGGGATGGGGGACCCAACTCCTGAGAGAGCCCACGGAGCAGATCTGGAGGTGTCAGGGAGCCGTCAAAGGAAGAGAGATTTGGGTGGGCCTGGAAGGATGTGTAGGAGTTTGCCAGGCAGAGAACGGGAAGCAAAAAGCTGCAATCAGGAAAACATCGCGCTTCCTCCAGGAACGGAGGTGTGGTCCAGTGGGCATGGGACTCGAACTTGCTCCCTAGCTGAGGAGTACAGGCACTCTCTTGGGAGACAGGGACGCAGGGAGCAGAGAAGCACCAAGCAGTGTGAAAAGAGCTATGGACTTGGGCAGCCAGTGCACGGAGGGAAGCCCTGTCTTTTGGGGGTGGGGGGTCTTGAAGGCACAAACCTCTCCCAGCTCACTCCCCCTTCTTTAGGTGCATCACCAGGTCCTTTTACCGGAACGTGGTAGGTGTCCTACTGGTCTTTGATGTGACAAACAGGAAGTCTTTTGAACATATCTGCGACTGGCACCAGGAGGTCATGGCCACTCAGGGCCCAGACAAGGTGATCTTCTTACTGGTTGGCCACAAGAGTGACCTGCAGAGCACCCGTGTTGTCTCGGCTCAGGAGGCAGAGGAGCTGGCTGCCTCGCTGGGCATGGCCTTCATGGAGACCTCGGCCAAAAAGAACTGCAATGTGGACCTGGCCTTCAACACCCTTGCTGACACCATCCAGCAGGCTCTGGAGCAGGGGGACATCAAGCTGGAGGAGGATTGGGGGGGTGTCCGGCTCATCCACAAGGCCCAAGTCCCCAGGTCCCCCCACAGGAAGCAGCCCTCACGCCCATGTCCTTGTTGACTCTGGGAGGGAAAGGGTTAAAGCACTGCCAACCCCAGAAGTGCCGCTGGAGTGGGGAGTGGCAGGAGCTTTCTGGAGAGCAAATGGCAGGATGTATCCAAAGGGTTAATATAAACAGTATCCTAGCAGTCATGCCTTCTGGATTTGGGGGTCTCAGAAAGACTTTCTTCCAGAAAGATCTAAGAAGTCACACGTGCAGTGGCTTCCTGCCCTTCAGCCCGTTTCCTGAGTTGTCAGTGGGGCTCATAAAAGACCCACATCACCGCAGGGGGCTTGGGGGTGTGTGGGCATCAATGAGACAGTGGATGCCGGGACATGCATGCTTGGCCCAGAGCCAGCCATCCGGTAAGAACTGAATGACAAGAACTGTCCTCATCCCTCGTTCCCCTCTTTGACAGCTCTGGCAGCGTTTCTGAGCTCGGACGCGGAGTCTGGACGCTGCTGCACAGGCGAGGACTGGGAGGGGAATCCCAGGGCAAGCCTACCTCGGAGCCTCCTTAGGTCCTCAGGTTTGGAGGAGTCTTAAATGTGTGCCCTGGAACTCAGGGTTGCTGCCCAGAGCCCCTACTCCAAGGCCAGGAGCCTGATCTGGATCTGGGATGCGGGGATGAACGAGGGAGCAGCTCCTAGGGTAGGCACACAGTGAATACTCTGATTAGCCACCAAGTTGTCCCTTTAGGGCTGAAGAACCCTACCCCCACCCGTATGTCCCTGGGAGGGGCGATGGTGTCCATGGTGGGTTCAAAGCACTCTCTGGGAGCTGCCTACCCTTCAGGGCTGCCCACATCCAAAATTCAATGCTGATCTGTTGAATCCACTGGGGGCTGGGAGGAGCCTGGCTTTCTTTGTCTTTCTTCATGAGGCTAATTGAGGCCACTGTTCTTACAACATCACAGCTAAATTCTCCCTCTACTCAGTTCCACTTCCTCCCCTTTTTCCCTGAGGCTGGTATTGATCTCCAGAATCCCCTAATCATGTCTGCTCACTAATCCTCATCTCAGAAATTGCATCCTGGAGAAATAGGGGACTGCTAGGCAGAAAATGTCTTGGGGCAAACTGGGAAGGCTTCCTGGAGATGGTGTTTATGTTGGTAAGAATCTCAGCAGGTGTGAGGCACCTGGGTGGCTCAGTTCTGAAAGCATCCAACTCTTGATCTTTGCTCAGGTCATGATCTCAGGATTTGTGAGGTTGAGCTGGCATGGTATCAGGCTCTGCACTGACAGCCAGGAGCCTGCTTGGGATTCTCTTTCTCCCTCTCTCTGCCTCTCTCCCACTCACACGTTTTTTTTCTCTCTCTCTTTCCCCCCCCCCCTCAAAATAAACAAAAAAGAATCAGCAGGAGGGGTGTCATTGTGCCAGTGGGCACGGGAAGGGCATGGACAGTTGCCACAGCAGAAGAGCATAACCACTTAATTCACGACTTACCTCAGTTTCAGATTCCTCCTCCTTATTAATCCCTTCTTCCAAGGGCTCTTGGGAGGTTTCCAGTCAGGGTGGGTTTCTTAGCTTCCACCCCATTCCCCCCATAGGGGCCGGGCCAGGGTGGGTCTCGCTGTGCACTGCCTCCTCTTTTATTGTTAAGTTCATGTATTTTGAGAGTCAGATGATATCAAGAGTCAGGTGCTTAACCAACTGAGCTACCCAGGCACCCCAGGTATCACCTCTTAACTAGAGCCTCATCCCAGCTGCCAAAACTAGGGTAGGCTTTGGAGTCAAGCCTGGGTTTGCCTCCCAGCTCCACTGTGTGTAACTGTGGGACACTGGGGAACTCACTTCATCTCTGCAAGCCTCAGTGGACTCCTCTGGAAAATGAGGATAGTAATTCCTAACTCACGGGGTTTTAGAAAGCATTAGATGAGAAGTCAAAGGCAATGCTGGCCACACAGTGGGAATTCACAAAATGGAAGTCCCCTTCTTCCCCTGAGGCTTTTGCTACTAATCACTGTAAGGGAACAGAGACTACCGAAGTAAATACTTGGGGGAAATAACAAGGATTCCAGACTCTACCAAAGTTCTTGACGATCCTGACCGCACCCCCACCCCACTCCCCTTCTCCACCCCTGATGTGAACTGGGCTCTGCTTCCTTATTTGGGGTGAAGTTCCAGAATCATCCCTTCAGGTCTATCCCTAGGCTAGTCTGAGCAAACAAAAGTCCCTCTCCAAAGCAGCACCCAGGCTAAACCCTCCAGGCATAGCAGCTTCAGCTCCCTGCCTGGATCCAGGCTTTTGTCCTTTAGAAGGCACACAGCCAAAGTCAGCCACCTGTGGGCCCTTTCTGAAGACCCTGCCTGCCCTGGGTCTGAAACCTAGTGCGTGAAGTGGGAAGACCCATCCTGCTCTCCACACACAAGATGGAACCGAAGATGTCAGGGTGGGAGTTCAGCCTCTCTACCTCCGAGCCTCAGGCTTCATGGTAAAATGAGAAGAACTCCTACCTCACAGGCTTGTTAGAGGATTAAACATGACGACATGTGTTAAGTGCCCAGTAAGTGTTAAATTCCTTCTGCTAACAAGCTCCCTTTGGGTCTTTCATGTGCCTGTCCCTTGTCCGGAATGTCCTTTCTCCATCTCTGTCAAAACTCTGTTCATCCTTCAAGGTTTGGCCCAACCTAATGTATCAATTCTGTCTCTGGGCTTTAGGGCATCTGAGTGGCTACCTTCTTTGAGATTTCAGGCTCTGCGGTCTCTTGCCATTTTGCCCCACTAGACCGTAGCACTTCAAGGCCAGGGTTTCCATAAGAAGGAATGACGATGGGCCAAGAGCACAGGTCCGAGTCCTGGCCTTGCCAGTGACCTCAGACAGGTCATAATGACCTCTCCAGACCCTGATGTTCTTACCCGTAAAATAAGGAGCTGCACTGGGTGATGCTGGGGCCTTTTCTAACTACAGGTAACTGTCGGGCTTCAGTCCAGCTCTGGCCTCCTCCTCCCTGCCTCACCTCATGCGGCCACAGGGGCCTTTCCGGGATGGCTTTCTGGTCCCAGATGGTTCCTTTTGTGTCCTCAACATTCACTCCTGTTGTTGCAGCCACCCGCTACCTCGGTCTTTTGGTTAATACTTTCTCAGGAAAACTTCGCATGCCACATCCCTTTATTTTTAGTCCAAATTAACGGCAGCAACTTCCTGGCTGGACCCCTCCCACGGCCTCTGACTCCATTCTCCACACTGGCAGCCAGAGCAAAGCTTTTAACATGCAAACACAAACACATCAGTCCTCGCCCTAAACCTCCACGGGCTCCCCATCACCTGCAGTTCTCAAACTTTTTGTTTATATGTTTGTTTTTAGCATCAGAATCCTCTTATCTTTCTATTAGCCCTAAAAATGTCCCACAATTAGGAAAAGGTATTGCTCAAGCTGAAGAGGGGTAGGAAGCCCTAGGGAAGGCTAGCCTGCTAGGCCACCAACATTACACCCTCCCATTCCTGCCAAGACAGAGAGAGACAGACATACAGACACACATACACATAGCAGCCTCTGAAGACTTTGGCACTATTGCCTGCATGCTGTCCACCTCTCAAGCTTACTTGCTGCTCATCTCTGGACATCCTCTCCCAGTGTTACACCTTGTGCCTGAGCCACATGATGCACTGACCTCTTTACACCTCTGGGCCTTTGCATGTGCTGTTCTTAGTCACCCCCATCTTGTCTCCATAAGACCTAGGGAGGCAGGGCAGAGTTAAGAGTGCAGGCACCGGAAGTCAGATGGACTTGGCTCAAGCATTAGCACCAACACAAGCTGTGTGACTTTAAGTTAAACACTAAATCTCAGTTTCCTCCTGGGAACATAGGATTAGATAAGATACTACAATTACAATGTGTGACACAGGCCAGGCACATTCTTCCTTCTTCAGACTTGTTGGGAAAACACAGCTTCTCTGTGGAAGGCGCTTAGCATGGCACGAGGCACCGGTAAGCACCCTCCAAGGACTTCTACACGGATGCTGGAGTCCATCGGCCCTGCCGCCCCTGAGCTCCTCGGCACTGGGTGAGGCTCTGGGAATCTGGATATGGTTACTCAGCCAACAAGGAAGAGGGCCTCGCACCCAGGGTGGGGCTGAGCTGCACGAAGGATGGCCACACCAAGTCAGAAGATGCCTTTCAGATCACTTGGTGATGCCCCTGTCCTGTATTCCTACACGCAGTCGTCAAAGCATGCTGAGTGCGCCGCGTAAACCATCTTTCAGAACTCCCCCTGCCCTCCACTTACTCACTACCACCACCTCGATCCAGGCAACAGCCTTCTAATGAATCTCTCTGCTTCCACACCTGCCCTCTCCCTTCCCCACTCCTGGCTATTTGTACTCCACCTCCTGGCCAGGGTGAGGTTTTAAAACTGCAAACATTGGGGCGCCCGGGTGGCTCAGTGGGTTACATGTCTGACTTCGGCTCAGGTCATGATCTGGAGGTCCGTGGGTTCGAGCCCCGCATCGGGATCTGTGCTGACAGCTCAGAGCCTGGTGCCTGCTTTGGTTTCTGTGTCTCCCTCTCCCTCTGCCCCCTTCCCTGCTCACTCTCTGCCTCTCAAAAATAAATAAAAACAAAAACAAAAAACTGCAAACCTGATGAAAATCCTTCAGTGGCTCCTGTTACCTTTTGGGTAAAGCACATTCTTGCTGGGGCCTACGAGGCACTGCATGACCTGGCCTGACTCACCTCACTCACTACACTGCCTTGGGGGCTGGCTTCCATGCAGTTCTCTCTCCACCAAAGAGATCTCCACCCTTTCACCTGAGTCACTCAACTCACCTGGTCAGACCCCACCGCCCCCAGTCCTGCAAACCTCTCTTTTGCGGCGCTAGGCACAGAGGCAGTTTTATACTCACCCTGTGGCAGGACTGCTCCATGTTTTTATTCACCGGCACAGGCCCAGGCCCAGCTTATAAATACTTGCTGAACGAATAAGCCCCTCCACACAGAGATAGGACAAGGCTCAAGATGGATGAAGCCACTTACCTGTCACACAGCTGATCAGAATTGAGACCTTTTGACTCTATCCCAGCTCTTTCCATTAAACTGCCCTGATTCTTTTGTCCCTTTCTGTTCTTAATGAACTAATTCTGGATTCCTTCTTGGTTGTCAAGGTCAGTGACTTGCTCCTACTATCAGAACTCAGTGAGAAGGCCTTTTGCTGTTTGATATCACCAACAGAACATCCTTTGAGAGTGTCACGCAGTGGCATCAGGAGGTTCTGGAAAAAGTGAAACTCTTCAACATCCTTTTCCTGGTGGTAGGCCGCAGAAGTGACCTGGTGACCGAGCAACAGGTGATGCTGGAGGAAGAGGAGAAGCTGGCTGCCTCTTTGGGTGCTCGCTATGTTGAGACGTTGGCCAAGAGCAATAGGAGCATCAGCACAGCCTCTGGGCTGCTCACTTAAGAGATCTACGAGGCCTGAAGACAGGGGTTATGGGACCAAATTCCGAGTGGGAGGGAATGAAAAGCAGGGTCCCATCTCAGGGCAAGCTTCAAGGCAGAGGAGAAGGGCAGGGCACGGTGGGTATACCCATGCTGGTGATCCCTGGATGGAAGAGCCACGCCTCCTGAAGCCTAGGAAACCCTCACAATCCACAAGGGCTATGCTGGGCTCAGGACAGGGAGATACTAGGTACCACTGAAGGTCATGACCCTGAGGTCTGAAGGCGCCTGGTTTCCTCTGCATGGTGTTGAAAATACAGGGATCAGGGATATCAACAACTGAGAACAGACAGGCACTCGCACAGATGGGCCTTTTCCCAAGCTACTGCCATCCTTTCTTAGGGCCAAGGATGAACTCCAGAAGTTCTAGAACAGCAGATCAAAAAAGGCTTTGCCGAAACTCTTCAGATTAGGGCTCAGGAAAGCAGATCGCCCTGCCATAAACTGCCCCATTCTTATGGCAGAGAAATTGGACTCAAACTCCTACTGATGCTATGGCCTTCCTTGGAGTAAAAGAATAGAAAAATTCCTGGTTTTTTCCTTCTCACAGCAATAAATAATGGTGCTGCCCCCTGCTGACAGAGTGCTACATCCAGCCTTGCTTGTCCTCTGAACTCCCTCTGGCCTTTCAAAGGCTGTAAGCCATGTATACCCTGGGTCTTTCGATTAATGACTTCTTTATTCTGGAAAAGCAAATGAAAGTCATATTCATATAAACACTGACATTACAAAGTACAGGGAAAGGGGAAGGGAGAAGGAAACAAAAACCTCTACAAATCCTGCTAATACTGTCTCACCAAACAAGATCATAATGTTTTGTCCCATATGCAATCACTTATATAATACACCACAAATAAAATCTTCTCTGGAAGATACATCATTCCTCTCTGAGACGGCAGGGAAAAGGGACTGGAAGTTGGATAGGAGGCTTTATTCTTTTGGCAGATCCTCTCAGTCATTATAGATATTGCTGCACTGTTAATAAAAAATATATGCTTCTCTGTAAAGCATTAAAAAAAAAAATCCAAGGATGAGATGGCTGAGGTCTCAGCTCAAGTATCTCCAAATACATTGTTGTCCATTCCCTGACCTTTCCATGTGTTATTTCTTGGTTGTTTTCCGGATCAATGCCATTCTCTGAAAGGAGAGCAAAATAACCAATAACACAGGTTAGAGCCAGGAACTATCCTAGTCACCCATGCGTGGCATGGTCAATACCACAAGCTGCAGCCCCTGCAAACCTACATGCACAGCACAGCTCAGCAGGCTCCTCTGAGCCTGAGAGCAGTCTTCGGGACCCCAAGGGATGTTTGGACTCCAGTGGATCCATTCTGTGGACCAAAAGACCCAAACTGCCATAGGTTAGCAGGATGGCAAGAAAGTTAAAAACCGAAGGTGGCAGCTCTTGCCTTTTGGAGACTTAGGGGACAGGTCACCAAAGCATATGTTTTCTAGACTCCCAATCTCTGAGGATTCTAGAACCCAATCTCTCTGAGGATGAAGAAAATAGGGAAGGGGACTGTTTCAAGACTGTTGTCATGCATAAAGGGAGCTGACATTTCACTCTTGATGACCTACAATGAAGGAAACTGACACTAACAACTTCCACCACAACCCATCAGGGAAACATTCAGGTCACAGGTTTCAAATTTCCAGCCATTGGCCAAACTACTGATTGGCTTTGCTTACTCTTTGACCAAGAGATTGTCCTAATATTATGATACTCGTGGCGGGGGGGAGGAACAGGGGGGGCTGGGGGATGGAGGGAGGCAGATAGGGCTGAAAAGTAGATACTTTGGAAACAAAGCCTAAATGATCATCCCTTGTCTGAAGGAATCCCCTTCGGAAGGATACTGTGATCCCTTGATTCAGGCTATCAGTGGCTTCCACGTAAGGCTTCCTCTGTGAGCTTTGTAAACACACACATTCCAGAGATCCCAGGATATGGAAAAGCAAGGGACACTCAGCTAGAACCACTCAAAACTGTGCCCATCAAGCTGGGAAAGCACTCACTTTTGAAATCAGAGTAGCCAGCTAAATTAAGACATTGTCAAGAGGAAGCCATCATTGCTATCAGACTGACCGATGACAGGGACAACTTGTTCACAGAAGTGGAGCTAGTTCTCATACTGTCCCCTCAGTTCTGCAGTCAGAGGGACAGAGAACAAAGGTGAAGCTGGGACAGGGGTCAGAATGTCTAGCACAGCAGTCTGGGTGAGACCTTCCTGCACAAGTATGGCTTATGTCTCCTTTCTTTAAACTGCCCTCTAGTCAGAGGGCCACATATGACATTCCGACAGCAATAATGCAGGAGGATTTCATTAGGGAGACGTGGAGGGGGGAGCTCTGTCTATATTAAAGCATCTCTAGTCATCAGCTTTAAGTGGCGCCCATCAGGGCTGAGAGGAAAAACGGAGGCCACATGCGGGAACAGCGAAGTACCACGGATGTATCCCACTGTTCTCCCATGGAGCCCTGCTGCCTCTTGCCCTCTCTGATCTTTGATCCAGGGAGTGGAGCTTACTCTGTGGGGGAAGTGACAACTGCCGTGACAGCAGCTGTGGGAGCTGCCTTGCTCCCTCAGACGCAGCTCAGGGGATCAGCTGTGGCTCCCCTGGGGTTCTGAAGGCTCCTCACCTGTTTGTGAGCCTCTGTGGTGCAGGCCTTTTTGTAGGGTCGGATTTCTTCAGAGCCAAATCCAGGGATCCACATGTTCCACTGGCGTTCTGCAAGGAAGAGGCCAGCACAGAGATAAGGGGACAGGGAAGGCAGCAGCAGAGTGCAGGGAGTCCCTCAGACAAGGGCCAGGGAGGACTAACTGAGCAATCGGCTATGTTAATTACCAGTAACCTTGCAGAGGGAGTCTATGGAATACAAATGGGGGAAATCACATATGGTGCCTCCAAGGTTTGAAATGACACCATTCGACTTACATGCAATGACAAAAGGGGGAAATGAGTCCAGGTTGTGAGTTATGAGCCCTAAAGTTTCCGTGCAGCTCAAGAGAACAGAGAAGTCATTTGTTTCTTAGCTGCCTTTTTTTTTTTTTTTTTTTAAAGTAGGCTCTGCACCTAACATGGGGCTTGAACACACGATCCTGAGATCAAAATCTCAGGGGATAAATCCACAGAGATATGGATATAGACATAGGTATGTCCACAGCGCAGCCCTGTGCTCTGGTGCCCTGGATATGGTCATCCCTGTAAGAAATGTCCCTAGAAATTCCAAGAGAGCAGAGATTTGACTACATCAGTAATTGGCAAAGCTACATGGACCCCCCCAAAACCACAAATAAAAGTGTGTGGCACTTTAAGTATCCCCACTATAAAAAAATTACACTTATATAAGATTATTTAGGGAACAAGCCTACTCAAAAGGAGTTAGATGCTTTATCATATGCCCCAAAAGCACCGAAAATATTTGTTTTGCAAATCTGTTTTGCCCCAGGCAGCCACTTACTTAAATTGAGTATTAGTGATTTTATAGTTATACTTTGTGTCTACTGAACAGTAACTATTGGGTAAATAAATGATTCATGTTTGGTTTTAGGATAATTTTATATACAGCTCTCTTCCAAGATTTCTTTGAAAATAAAAATAGCTGGGGCGCCTGAGTGGCTTAGTCGGTTGAGCGTCCGACTTTCGCTTAGGCCATGATCTCGCAGTTCGTGGGTTCGAGTCCCGCGTCGGGCTCTGTGCTGACTGCCAGCTCAGAGCCTGGAGCCTATTTCAGAGTCTGTGTCTCCCTCTCCCTGACCCTCCCCTGCTCACGCTGTTTCTCTCTCTCTCCTAGAAATAAATAAAAATATTTAAAAAAAAAAGAAAATAAAAATAGCTGAAGCCTTCTGAAAATAGTATCTGTTGTCAGTCCTTGAAAGTGACACTAAGATTATTCCCAGGTGCCTGGGTTGCTCAGTTGGTTAAGTGTCCGACTTTGGCTCAGGTCATGATCTTGAAGTTCCTGGGTTCAAGCCCTGCACTGGGCTCTGTGCTGACAGCTTGGAGCGTGGAGCCTGCTTTGGATTTTGTGTCTCCCTCTCTCTCTGCCCCTCTCTCATTCATGCTCTGTCTCTCTCTCTCTCAAAAATAACAAACTTAAAAAAAAAATGAGCCTTTAAAACAGATTGTTCTCAGGGCGCCTGGGTGGCTCAGTTGGTTAAGCATCTGACTTTAGCTCAGGTCATGATCTCTCAGTTCGGGAGTTCCAGCCCCACATCAGGCTCTGTGTTGACAGCTCGGAGCCTGGAGCCTGCTTCAAATTCTGTGTCTCCCTCTTTCTCTCTGCCTCTCCTCTGCTCATGCTCTCTCTCTCTCAAAAATAAACAAACATCAAAAAAAAAAAAAAGGAATAAATTTAAAATTTATTTAGGCACCCAGGTGTCTGGGTGGCTCAGTCAGTTAAGCATCCGACTTGGGCTCAAGTCATGATATAGTGGTTCGTGGGTTCGAGCCCTGCGTGGGGCTCTGTGCTGACAGCTAGCTCAGAGCCTGGAGCCTGCTTCAGATTCTGTGTCTCCTTCTCGCTCTGATCCTCCCCTGCTCATGCTGTCTCTGTCTCTCCCTCAAAAATAAATAAAACATTAAAAAAAATTAAAATAGTCTCTTTAAAGAAAGAGAGCAGCTGGGCATCTGGTTGGCTCAGTTGGTAGGGGATGTGACTGTTGAACCTGGGATTTTGAGTATGAGCTCCACATTGGGTGTAGCGATTACTTAAAAAAATAAAATAAAATCTTAAAAAAAAAACAGTAACTACCAGGCAAGAATGCACACATGTAAGTATGTGTAGCAATATATGTAAATATGCGTATATTTAGGGGTGCCTGGGTGACTCGGCTGGGCATCCAACTTCGACTCAGGTCATGACCTTGCAGCTTGTAAGTTCGAGCCCCACATCAGCTCTCTATTCTCAGCGCAGAGTCTGTTTTGGATCCTCTGCCTCCCCCCTCCCCTGCTCACTCTCTCTCTCAAAAATAAATGAAAATTAAACAATTTTAAATATGCATATATTTATATTTTATATAATATTAATGTAATAGCAACAATAATCATTAGTGACTAAGAGGTACAGTAAAATGTGTGGTATAAAGCAGTACTGTAGGGGCGCCTGGGTGGCTAAGTTGGTGAAGTGTCTGATTTTGGCTCAGGTTATGATCTTGCAGGTCATGAATTCAAGCCCCATGTCAGGCTCTGCACTGACAGCTCAGAGCCTGGAGCTTGCTTCAGATTCTGTGTCTCCCTCTCTTTCTGACCTTCCCCTGCTCGTGTTCTGTCTCTCTCTCTCTAAAATAAATAAAAAACCATTTAAAAATATAAAAATAAAGCAGCATGGTACAAAGCATTCCATGTACATTATCTCATTGAACTTCCACATTTCTTTTTTTTAAGTTTATTTATTTATTTTGAGAAAAAGGACCTGAGTTGGGGAGGGGCAAAGGGAGAGGGTGACAGAGAGAATCCCAGGCAGGCTCCAAGGTGTCAGCACGGAGCACGGTGTGGGGCTCAAACCCATGAACCATGAGATCATGACCTTAGCCAAAATCAAGAGTTGGAGGGGCGCCCGGGTGGCTTAGTCGGTTAAGCGTCCGACTTTCACTTAGGTCATGATCTCGCGGTTCGTGAGTTCGAGCCCCGCGTCGGGCTCTGTGCTGACTGCCAGCTCAGAGCCTGGAGCCTGTTTCAGTTTTTGTTTCTCTCTCTCTCTCTGACCCTTCCCTGCTCACGCTGTCTCTCTCTCTCTCTCTCTCTCTCCTAGAAATAAATAAAACATTAAAAAAAAAAATTTACAAAATCAAGAGTTGGATACTTAACCGACTGAGCCACCCAGGTGCCCCTAAACTTCTACATTTCTAAAGACTCTGTCAGAAAGGGAGGTTATTTACACAAGTACAGGAAATAGGGTGAGAAGCAAAGCTGACAGCACACATCCCAGTCTGTCAGAGAGAGGACGTGTGCAGAGGTTACAGCCCATCTCTGTTGTGGGTGGTGTGCGGCAGACCTGGGTGGTCCGGTGCCATTCAGTACCCGGTTCCCCACGCTCCCCAAGTGATCGGATTATTCATTAGCCTCCACTACGCCTGCTATAGAAGCTGTTCCGGCCATGCAGTTTTGTGAGTATTCTTGTCTCTGTGACAATTACTTCTCACCCTTAGTGAGTAAACTAATAGTTCAATGTTATTTTCAATAATTAAAATACAAAATATTTTGGGCACTTTGGTGGCTCAGTCCGTTAAGCGTCGAACTCCTGATTTCGGCTCAGGTCAAGATATCATAGTTTGTGAGATGGAGCCCTGTATCGGCTCTGCACTGACAGCATGGAGCCTGCTTGGGATTCTCTCTCTCCCTCTCTCTCTGGCCCCTTGCCCACTTACATACTCTCTCTCAAAAAAGTTAATAAACTTAAAAAAAAATTTAAAATAGGAATGCTAAACACTCAAAGTAATACAATCTGTTATGTGCAGGAGGGTTGTGGCAAAACACACATAAAATTTACCACTGTAACCATGTTTAGGTGTGCAGTTCTGTGGCCTTAAGCACACTCACCTGTTGTGTAACCGTTACCACTATCCATCTCTAAAACGTCTGCATCATCTCAAACTGATGCTCCATACACATTAAACCAGTGCCCATCTCTCCTTCGCACAGCCTCACATTGCCACCATTCTATTTTCTATCTATCTGCATTGTGGTGGTTTAAAATTTTTTTTTATGTTTTATTTCTAAATTTTTTTTTAATGTTTTATTTATTTCTAGGAGAGAGAGAGAGACAGCGTGAGCAGGGGAGGGTCAGAGAGAGAGGGAGTCACAGACTCTGAAACAGGCTCCAGGCTCTGAGCTGGCAGTCAGCACAGAGCCCGACGCAGGGCTCGAACCCACGAACCGCGAGATCATGACCTAAGCGAAAGTCGGACGCTTAACCGACTAAGCCACCCAGGAGCCCCTGCATTGTGGTGGTTTTAAAACATGTCTGCAAATTCCTTTACATGCCTCCCCTCAGTGTGGAGTCTGCGTTCCCTCTCCTTAAACCTGGACAGGTCACTGTAACTGCCTCAAAGAACAGAAGGTGGTGGAGTGACGCTGTGGGGCTTCAGGCAGTCAGTCAGTGAAGGCCGTGCACCTTCTGCCAGCTGGTTACGGGACACTCATCCCGGGGGCCTGCAGCCACCATGTAAGAAGCCCAGCCATCCCAGGACTGTACGGGATGAGACCATGTAGGGAGACTGCAGACAGAGGAAGACCTATGGAGTCCCGGCTTTTTGAGAGCTTCTAGCCCAAGTATCAGACCTGGACGTGATGAAACCCTGTTTTGGGTCAAATTGTGTTCCTCAAAAAGAAGAAGACATGTTTAAGTCCTAACCCCAGCACCTCAGGACATATTGGTAACAGGGTCACTGCAGATGTAACTAATTACGATGAGGTCATACAGGGGAGGGTGGGCCCTTAATCCAGTATGGCTGGCATCCTAAGGAGCAGAAGAGGTGGACTGAGAGACACACAGGGGAGAAGGCCACTCTGAGGCAGAGATGGAATGAGGCGGCTATATGCAGACAATGACAAGGACTGCTTGCCACCAGCAGCTAGGGAAAGGCAGGGCAGGATTCTTCCATAGGAGCATGGAGAGATCATGGTTTTATTACATATTAGACCTTGATTTTAGATCTCTGGCCTCCAGAACTGTGAGAGAATACATTTTGTTGTTTTAAGCTACCGAGTTTATGGCACTTTGTTACGGCAGCCCCAGGAGACTAATACATCTTCCTTCAAACCAATCTCCGCCCCAGCCACCACCTGACTTTAATTGCATGAGAAACCCCTTTGCAAAACTGCCCAGCTAGGCCTGGTCAACCCCCTGACTCATGAACAAAATAAACCACTGTTATTGTTTTAAGCCACTGTCTTGGAGCAGTTTGTTACCCAGTAATACATAACTGGAATATCTGTCCTCTATTACTAATACCAGCAACGTTAACCAGAAGTGTGTTATTTACTCCATCAAGACGACCAGCGCCTCCCCAAGCCATATCTTCCTGGGAAGGAAGCCTTTTTCAGTAATCAGTCACAGGCTGGGGCACCTGGGTGGCTCAGTCGGTTGGGCGTCCAACTTCGGCTCAGGTCATGATCTCAGGGTTCGTGGGTTCGAGCCCCACGTCGGGCTCTGTGCTGACAACTAGCTCAGAGCCTGGAGCCTATTTCAGATTCTGTGTCTCCCTCTCTTTCTGACCTTCCCCTGCTCACGCTGTCTCTCTCTCTCAGAAATAAATAAAACATTTTAAAAAATTAAAAAAGTAATCAGTCACAGGCTGATTTACACCAAATCCCTCAATCTGCCTCATTCAGTTGGCTTGGCTACCTCTGTACTCACAAGGCTGTTCACTTTCTTCTGATCACACTGTAACCAAAGCAGAGTGGGGTTTGTTGATTCCCAAGTGATTTTGGTTATCAATGTTATCTCAGAAAAACCCAAGCTTGAATTTAGCGTAGAAAAACAGAACACAAAATTGTATGTATATTATGATTACAATTTGGGGGGGGGTGCATAAATAGGCTAAAAACTGGAAGAGAAACACCATTATTTAAATGGTGGAGACATAACTGCTACATTTATGAAACTCTTATTCTGCGCCAGTCCCTGTGCCAAGTCACTTGACAAACATAACCCATAATCCTCACGATCGCTCTATAGGGATGCTATTATGATCTCCACTTTACAAATGAGGAAACAGGCTCTAAGAGAAAGTAGGTAAGGAAGGACAAGGTGATACAGACAGAAAGCGGCAAACCCAGTGCCTGGGCTCATTCTGCTTACCACAGATGGATTTCCTTTCTCTATGTAATGCTGCTGTGGAATGAGTACATACATCCCAGAGCCCAAGAACTTAATTCTTTTTTTTTTTTAGGTTACTTTTTAAAAAAATTTTTTTTTTCAATGTTTTATTTATTTCTAGGAGAGAGAGACACAGCGTGAGCAGGGGAGGGTCAGAGAGAGAGGAAGACACAGACTCTGAAACAGGCTCCAGGTTCTGAGCTGATAGTCAGCACAGAGCCCGACGCGGGGCTCGAACCCACAAACCACGAGATCATGACCTAAGCGAAAGTCGGAGGCTTAACCGACTAAGCCACCCAGGCGCCCCCCAAGAGCCTAATTCTGACATGAAGATTCCTCTGACTGGAGATTCCTGGTGGTCCTGAAGGAGCAACAGTGTGGATGCCTCCGGCAGAAACAAGACCACATACCTAGATGCAGCTGGACATCTTTCACCTCCAGGGTGCTGGACTTGCGATGCCGAGCGAGCTGGCAGGCTGCTGTCACCACACTCTCGATAAAATCATCAGCGATCTGCAGCAGCATCTGGGGAAGACAAAAAGTGGGAGAGTAACCATGACACTGGCAGAGTAGGCTCTTGTTGCTGGGACAACTGTGTCTTCTTGAACCACGTATTTACTCGGGCTTTCTTTTTTTTTTTTTAATTATTTTTTTTTAATGTTTTATTTATTTCTAGGAGAGAGAGAGAGACAGCGTGAGCAGGGGAGGGTCAGAGAGAGAGGGAGTCACAGACTGAAACAGGCTCCAGGCTCTGAGCTGGCAGTCAGCACAGAGCCCGACGCGGGGCTCGAACCCACGAACCGTGAGACCATGACCCAAGCCAAAGTCGGACGCTTAACCGACTAAGCCACCCAGGCGCCCCTACTCGGGCTTTCTATTGGAAGCCCTGGAATCAACATTTGGGCTAAGGTGAGGAGGAGGAGTGAGGATAACACTAAAAACCCATCAACTCATTAACCAGGTTGAGTACAACTCACACCTTTCTGAGGACGTCACTTTCTGTACTTCCTACCTGGCAGGGGTCAACCAGCCCAATCCCTCACCCTCATATTTTCTTCTGAATTAGGTGGGAAAACAAAAGTGAATCATTATACTTCCTCCTCAGTCTCCTAAAGCATTTTTATTTCCATTATCTCACCTAGTCCTTATAGTGATCCTGTGAAAAAAAATGGGGCATGGATTTTATCCTCCTTCTACATAAAAGGATGTGGACTCATGGGCATGCAACTGCTAAGCATTCAAACCAGGATTCAACTTCCATGTCCATGTCTAAATCCTGAGTTCTTCCCACTTCATTATCAATGAAGTCACTATCCTGGACTATGTGAAGAGTAAAATCAGAATTTGAATCTAAAAATCTACATGAAAAATTTGGAATTTTCATCAGTCAATACATTTGCTTCCTCTGCTGACAAAAAATAAAATAAAATTATAATCATAGACAGACATTCCTTATTCTGCTAGACTATTCTTGGATTGTTATTTTTCCTATGAAACCAAATGGATACTATCTGATGGAGAGATATCTTTTTTTCCCCAGCAATTTTGGTAAAGTTTATTTATTTATTTTGGGGGGGGCGAGGAAGAGGGGGAAGAGAGACAGAGACAGCGAGCACCCACCAGTGGGGGAAGGGCAGAGAGAGAGAGGTAGGGAGAGAGGAAAAGAGGAAGGGAGGGAGACGGAGAGGGATAGAGAAGGAGAGGGAGAGGGAGAGAGGGGGAAAGAGAGAGAGAGAGAGAGAGAGAGAGAGAGAGAGAATCCCAAGTAGGCTTCACACTGTCAGCACAGGGCCCAACGTGGGGCTTGAACTCATAATCTGTGAGATCATGACCTGAGCTAAAGAAAAGAGTTGGATGATTAACCCACTGAGCCACCCACTCACCCCTTTCTCTTTCTTTTAAAGTAAGCTCTACGCCCAACATGGGGCTTGAACTCACCACCCTGAGACCAAGAGTCACATACTCTACTAAATGAGCCAGCCAGGCACCCCCAAATGGAGAGATTTCTGATTAAACATGGTAGATCAACCTCAAAAATGACCTCTTCTTCTTCCCTAAATCCATTAAAATAACAATAAAAGGAAAAAAAGACATATCCACACAGAGAACAACAACAGGAGAGGAAAAACTTAACAGACTAGAGATTCCAATTAAAATCTATTCGTTTGTTTGTTTATTTATTTATTTTTGAGAGATAAAGTGAATGAGCAGGGGTGGGTAGACAGGGAGGGGAACAAAGGATCTGAAGCAGGCTCTGTGATGACTGACAACAGACAGCCTGATGTGGGCCTTGAACTCATGAACTGCAAGATTATGTCCTGAGCTAAAGTCAGATGCTTAATCAACTGAGCCACCCAGGTGCCCCTCCAATAAAATTCTTTTATAGTTTATTGTCAAGTTGGTTTACATATATCCAATAAATTTTTAAAGTAAATTTTTGTCAAGGAGATAACAGAGGAAAAGTGGGATCTAATCTAGCAGATGGAAGGTGTCCACAGAGGGCACACCAATGAGAATTAAACAGATTTTCCCCTTGCAGCACCTAAAAGATCCAGGTTCTAGAAGTGCTATTTACATAAAAGATTGGGCTGAAGCATGGAACTAAAAACTCATAAAGTATTACATGTCTATATACAGACTGGTCTCCAATCCCCCCACACTCCAAAAGCAGCCAAGTGACTCCTCCCCACACATACCAGAATACAAGTTTATTCCCTAGAGCACTGAACAGGCAAGGCTCTGGGTTAGAATGCATCACACACAGCAATGGCAGAGGAGAGACACAGCCTCTCTCTCTTGCCTTGCTCTCAGGAAGTGAGCAGGGAGAGATAAACCCTCCAGAGAGAAGCCTGGAGGATTTTTCTCGGGAGACACCAAATGACTCCACACAATAGACTTACAGATGCAGAGATGTAGAGATCCTCCAATAAGAAGGCTGACTTGTGGACAAATTATTCTGGAGTGAAGCCAGTGGTTTGCTGAAGCCAGCTGAGAGGAGCTCATAAAAGTCAATTAATTATATGCAATTCTTCACAGTCTTGCATTCAGCAACATGTTGATAGCTTAAAAGAGGGCATATTGGGAATATTTACACCACAGATTTCAGGAAATGCTAAAAATTAGGGCCTTTTTCTCTACAGAACTGGTTGCTAAACATTTACCAGTATGTTACTGGATGAGGTCAATCAGTAAATTCTGCTTCAAACCAGCTTTTTAAAAGTGGCTCAGTCTTTAAGAACAGTTCGCCAAGAACACCAAACATGTGAAGGAAATCTCCAATACTAACAAGAAAATAAGCAAACCAAGGAGGAAAAAAAAAGGGCCCAGAGGACACTAAGACAATGCGGGGAAAAGAAGAAAATGTCAAAAAATGGAATTCCTTGAATAGAAAGGTAAGAGAAAATGTTACAACCATAAAATAGGAATAAAGTAGCTTAGGAATAAAAAGGACAAATTAGGAGTGCCTGGCTGGCTCAGCTGGTGGAAGAGTATGACTCTTGATGTCAGGGTTGTGAATTCGAGCCCCATCTTGGGTGTAGAGATTACTTACAAAATAAAATCTTTTTTTTTTTTTTTTATTTTTATTTATTTTTGAGAGAGTGAGACAAAGCGTTGAGTTGGGAAGGGGCAGTGAGAAAGGGAGACACAGAATCTGAAGCAGGCTCCAGGCTCTAAGATGTCAGCACAGAGCCTGATGTGGGCCTTGAACTCATGAACCATGGGACCATGACCTGAAGTTGGATGCTTAACCACGTAGGAGCCCCCAAATAAAATCTTTAAGAGAAAAAAAAAGGATGTCAACAAGAAAACCTCATGAGAATTCTAATTTTATAACCAAAAAACCCCCACAAAACTTAAAAAGTTTAGAAGATAAGCTAAGAAAAATCTCCCTAGCAAGTACTTAGAATTACAAAGAAATGAAAAATAGGAAATCAAAGAGAAAAAAACCCAAGAGGACCAATGCAGAAGATTGAATACCCAACCACTGTCATTACAGAATGAAAGAGCAAAAACAGAGAAGAAATTACCAAACTAATATGAGAAAATGGAAGTCTCACACACTACTGGTGGCAATGTAAAAGGGTATATAGCACTTTAGAAAATAAGACAGTTTCGTGAAGGAAAAACACAGTTATCACATGACTCTGCAACTCCACTCCTAAGTATATTACCAAGAAAAATGAAAACATATTTCCACACAAGAACTTATGCACCAATTTTTTATTTTTTTTTTATTATTTTTTTTTAAACACTGCATTTTATTTATTTATTTATTTATTTATTTTATGTTTTATTTATTTCTAGGAGAGAGAGAGAGAGACAGCTTGAGCAGGGGATGGTCAGAGAGAGAGGGAGTCACAGACTGAAACAGGCTCCAGGCTCTGAGCTTGCAGTCAGCACAGAGCCCGATGCGGGTCTCGAACCCACTAACTGTGAGATCATGACCTAAGCGAAAGTCGGACGCTTAACCGACTAAGCCACCCAGGCGCCCCAAGCACCAATTTTTTAAAAAGGAAAAAAACAAAATTTGCACATGAATGTTCACGCAACATTATTCATAATAGCCAAAAAGTGGATACAACCCATCAACTGATGAATGGATAAACAATGGTATGTCCATACAACGGAATAGTATTCTGCCCTAAAAAGAAATGAGGTACTCATATCCGCTACAACACGGATGAACTTTAAAAACATTATACCAAGTGAAAGAAGCCAGTCACAGATACCACATACTATATGACTTCATTCATCTGAAATGTCCAGAACAGGCAAATCTATAAAGACAGAAAGTAGAATAGTAGTTGTTTGCTTAAGGGCTGTGGGAGTTGGGAAAAAATGGAAATGACTGCTAATAAGTAGGGGTTTCTTTTAGGGGTGATGAAAATGTTCTAAAACTGACAGTGTTGAGAAGTGTAGAATCTGTGAAGAGACTAACAACCACTAGACTGTAGACTTCAAATGAATGAATTTTATGGTATATGAATTATATCTCAATAAAGCTGCTACCCCCCCCAAACCATTTCCTTTCCTCCCCACACACAAAGAGAGCAAGTATTTTTCCTTCTGGTTAAAAAAATAAAAATGGAGTTATACTTTTTTTTGTAATTTGTATTTCCTTTCCCTGTCATTACATATTCCTCAGCAAAGGCAAAACAAACAATTACAAAAAACTCCAAACTCCAAAATATACAAAATCATTCCAGAATTAAGGTCCTAAAATAAAAGGAGGCTCCAGGAACCCAGTACAACAAATGAAAAAAGACACTTACAAAGATCATATGAAAATTCAGAATAGAAAAAAAAGTAAGACTCTAGGGGCACCTGGCTGGCTCAGTTGGTAGAGCATGCAACTCTTGATCTCAGGGTTTTGAGTTCAAGCCTCATGTTGGGTATAGTGATTACTTAAAAAAGGAAAAGAAAAAAAAAATAAAGAAAAAGAAAAAAGACTCTAAAAAAAACACAAAATTGGGATCAGAATAGCATAAGATCTTTTTCTTCTTTTTTTTTTTTTAAATAGGTTCCATGCCAAACATGGGGCTTGAACTCATGACCCTGAGATCAAGAGTTGCATGAGGCACCCTGCATAAGATTTCTTAATAGATTTTCAAAGACAATGGAGCAATGCCTTTACAATGGAAAGGAAAAAATGATTTCCATAATCAAATTCTAAATTCATTCAAACTAAAAATTAAGTGTGAAGTTAGAATGTAGATATTTCCAACATTTACCTCTCATCTATCCTTCTTAGGCAGTAATAAAAATGCACTTTAACAAAAACAGGGAGTAAAGTAAGAAGAGGATGTAGGATCTAGGAAACAAGAGATCCAAAGAGAGAGGGGAAAAAAAAAAAGAGCAAAAGGAAGACCCAGGAGGGGTTTGTTCAAGTGACCTAAAATTAATCAGACCAGAAGAAGATGGGAGGATTCTGGAAGTGAAATCTCTGGGTTGGGGAGGGGGATGGGGATGGGGATGGGAGGAGAGACTCAAATCTGTAGATTATTTTTCCATTTGGAAAACAATGTTGATAAGTGCATACCAGAGCTGATAGAAGTCGAATAAAAAAGGCACCAAAAAAAAAAACACCCTAAATAAAAATGAGTCAACTATCAAGTTTGTAAATAGCACAAAACAGGACTTGGTTCAGTGGTGAACAATATTTACTTGGTCAGAACAATGTAAATATTGATTTCTGAGTCATCCAAAAGCTGTGACAAAACTATATTGGAAAAATGAGGGAAAGAAAAGCATGTATGGATAGGAGTAGTTTAACAAAATTCTATCAACAAATCAAAGAACATCTGTTTCAGTATATTAGAAATATGGAGGAATATTCTAGAAACAACTAAAATCACTTAAAGTGATTGACTGTGAATAACAAATGAAGCCCTTTTCGCCAAGCAAAAGTAGCAGCAGCTGCTAGGTAGAAAGTGCTTGGCACTCTCCTATGTGATTTGTACAAGTTATCCCAAGGAACCCTCAAAATAACCCTGTAGGTAAATAATACCATATCCTACCAACACAAGAGGAAACTGAGTCTCAAAAAGCGTAAGTGACTTGCCCACAGCTACAGAGCTGGTAAGTGGCAGAGCCATGATTCAATTCAGATTTGTCTGCCTCTAAAGTCTGTGTTATTACCAATATTCTGTATTAGCTCTCAGGGACAGATGCTGGGGTGCCCAACCCCACCTTACCTCTTCCACATCTTCATCCAATTGCTCATTAGGATCCACTTCTCTGACTAAGTCTTGTAATTTCTTCTTGGTCAATACCTAAAGTTAATTGGGAGAAGATTTTTTCAGCAAGTATTAAGGGAGCAAAACACCTCATTATCCTATAATGAAAAAATGCTGTCACTGTGTTGGGTTCAGTTTCTACTTTCCAAAAGTTAGCAGCCTGGTCTACGAGACTTGTATTCTACAATACACTCATGGTAGAAGTAGCCCAGGGAAAGGCCATAAGAGCAGTGTGGACGAGAGGCCAACACCTATCAGTTTATTTCTGCCTCATCTCTTTCTCACTGTGCCTTACCTTCCCTCCACATTAAAAAATTTGTAATTTTCTGACCATCACAACTTGTATGTGCCTCTGTTGCCTTTGGAGGTGATCTTCCATCCTTCCTATCTGCTCAGTCTATGGTGCCTTCTTTCTGCTTTTCCTAGGCCACCCAGGTAAAAGAAACCACTTCCTCCCTTGGCTTCTACTATACCCTGTGCATCCTTTTATCATTGTATACATTTGTCCTTTTTTTTTTTTTAGTGTTTATTTTTTTTTATTTTTTTATAAATTTTTTTTTTTAACGTTTTATTTATTTCTAGGAGAGAGAAAGAGAGACAGTGTGAGCAGGGGAGGGTCAGAGAGAGAGGGAGTCACAGACTGAAACAGGCTCCAGGCTCTGAGCTGGCAGTCAGCACAGAGCCCGACGCGGGGCTCGAACCCACGAACCGCGAGATCATGACCTGAGCGAAAGTCGGACGCTTAACCGACTAAGCCACCCAGGCGCCCCTAGAAACAAATTTTAAAATACATACTGTTGATGATCCCTCAGATCTATCCATTCTCCATTCTAACATTACCACTTAATTCAAGCCTTCACTGCACATCCTGATTTACTGCAGAAGTCTTAGACCTGGTCTTCCTCTCAGTCTACCCCCTTCCCTACCTTTCTTATCCACTTACTGCCAAGTTAATTCGCCTAAGATATACTACTTTTATTATGTTACTTACTCTTCTATTAAATATTTGCAAAGACTCTCTAAAGTTCCAAAGGAAATTGACTAGTATATGCTCAGTATATTCTGCAATAATCTGGCCTAAACAATTTTACCTCCTGCTCTTCTCCAAGAGACTCCACATTCAACACAAGCTGGCTTCCTGACTATCTGCCCAACCTTCCCCATTCACATTTGCTGGTCCCTTCCCCCATTTTCTTAAAATGTTCCTCCTATTCTATCCAGCCTACAAGGTCCAAGTTAAGAGATAATACTTATTTCTTATCTCTTGTGGCTCTGCAGGGCAGAATCAGAATAATGGACAGAAAGTGGGGGGCAGATTTCAGAATTACTGCAGAAAATTAGTGGCAGCAGCTGAATGAACTAGGAGAAAAGACTGTAGGCAATGGTACTTTTATTACAGGAATAATGAATGACGAATCCATTAGTTATTTTATTTAACTATTTTATTTACCAATTATATAGCATATATATTTATACATAAAAATACAAAAACCTATCATAGGCAACATGTTGTGTTAAGTGTGTGTGTATGGATGTATATACATACACATCACACACATAAACACAACAAACACTGATAAACACTGTATATAATAATTTTATAAAGAACTTCAGATGTCCAAAGGACAGGGGTGCCTGGGTGGCTCAGATGGTTAAGTGTCTGACTTTGGGTTTTGGCTCAGGTCATGATCTCACAGTTCAGGAGTTCAAGCCTAAGCTTTCTTGGGATTCTTGCTCGCTCGCTCTCTCTCTCTCTCTCTCTCTCTGCCCCTCCCCCTCCCCCCTCTCAAACAATTAAAAAAAAAAACTCTTTAATTTTTTTAAATTTTATTTTTGAGAGAAAGAGTGTGAGCAGGGGAGGCACAGATGGAGAGGAGGGCAGAGGATCCAAAGTGGGCTCTGTGCTGACAGCAGCTAACCCGATGCAGGGGCTCTAACTGAGGAGTGGCAAGATCACGACATGAACCAAAGTTGGATGCTCAACCAACTGAGCCTCCCAGGCAACCCCCCAAAATCCCCTTTAAAAAAATAAATAAACAAGTCCAAAGGAGGGAAAAGACCTTTCCTAGCTAAGAGGAAGAGGCAGCATCTGAGACAGACATTTCCCCAATGCATTACTGGTTCAAATAACAGGTAAGAGGTACCTATAAAGAGCAAAAAATAAGAAATGATACCTGATTGTTTTCAGGGCTGAGACGCCCGCCTGTCCCAGGAGTGCCTGGTATCTTTACCACTGTAGTGCTATTGGCCATGGAGCCTTGTGGAGGAGTGCTGGCTGGTTCCGGTTTTATGGATGAGAAATTGGAGAGGTTGATTAGGGCTGAGGGGCCAAACTGGTTCATAATCTGCCGAGCTTTGGACTTCAGCTCATAGAGCTTATCAAGATCCTGTTTCTTTTTGGAGCTGTGAGGACCAAGGCCAATCAACTGTAGAAGGAAAACAAGAGAATTAGCTCCAAAAACACCTTTAATAAAGGATAAATTTTGAAAGTAAACTTATATAAAGTCTGTTGGACTTGAAGGGTCTTTAGGATTTCCGGGATAGTGACCATGTGATACCTGCACATTAAAAATGGAGTGAATGAGGAATGTTCATTGCTCTCCCCACATATTTAGAAACTATCTCTTCTTTAAAGTCTAAATGAAATAGTCCACAATATTAAATAAGTAAATGAAATGAGAAATCTTATGTACAAAAATAAACTAAAATGAGTAAGACATTTTTGAAGACTTCGTAAAAACAGAATTCTTGGTTAAGTACTACATGCGTTATTTTTTCAACAGCAAATAATGTTAAATTCAAATCTTAAACCCTAGTCACAAAACTTCCAAAAACAGATTAGTCCATTTTGGCACTTCAAAACATGCTTAAATCTATGTCAGGGCTATGTCTAATAAACACAATTTTTAGCAACCGTTAAAAGTAAGCTGTTCTTCGTCATCAAGAGCAAATTTTCTCTGAGTGTTAGCAATCTTTCAAGTACATGCAGAGTCCCTAGCCTGAAGTAGCCAAGACTCCTACTAAATTTTAAAGCCATGAGGTAGACTCTGTGGACAGCAGCTTTGGTGTCATTGAGATCAGAAGCACATTTACCAAGTCCCAACAGTGGCCTCAGCAAGCTTACTTACAGCTATCTGAGTGTCTAGATCTTTAATTACATCAGCAACAGCTGTGAGCCCGGTGAACTGAGAGGCAGCCATTTTCAAAAGCTACCTGTAAATGAACAACGGCATCAAGCACCACTCTTGCCACAGAGCCATTTCAGTTGTGTGGCTGGCACATCTTCACTGAGCAGGATCCAAGCACTGGATGTGGAGAAACACATCCATATTCTTGTCTCCTTATTCTTACTCGGCACCAAGAGAAACCTCTCCATCTCTTTCATATGCAACTTTTAAAATTAATAAAGATTATAGTAATATAGGGGCGCCTGGGTGGCTCAGTAGGTTAAGCGATCGACTTTGGCTCAGGTCATGATCTCGTGATTCGTAGGTTCGAGCCCCGCATCGGGCTCTGTGCTGACAGCTAGCTCAGAGCCTAGAGCCCGCTTCTGATTCTGTGTCCCCCTCTCTCTCTGACCCTCCGTTGCTCATGCTGTCTGTCTGTCTCTCTCTCTCAAAAAATAAATAAATAAAACATTTAAAAAAATATTATAGTAATATAGATACTCTTCTAATAAAACGGATGTTCTATCATTAGGGATAAACTAGCAGCATATGAAAACTTCATTGGCCAAACTGTGAAACTTGAACTTGCAGGGATCCTGGTCGTGGTTATCAGAACTTGATGAAGCTTAGCAACCTAAATGAGCATTTGTACCTGTGAACTCTTGCCCCCCTATAGCTGAGTTCCTCCCCACAAAATTTTCTAACTTTCTAACACGAGAAATCTCCTTTCCTGCTTTACCCTTAAGAAAAGCAACTGACTATGCACTGGTTAAGTGACCAAGAGACACTTGGCCAAGAGTCAGCTAAGGGGACAGCAGAGCATCAAGATCACTTGTTTGTTTTTAACCATATGTAGTCCGTGCCTCTTTTTCCCTTACCCACAAATGTTACCACCAGAAGAATCAGGAGAGGGAAAGATTGAGAATGTGGTAATAGTTGTTCTGTAATGTTATAAAAGCAAACTATTTCTCCACAACAAGTTTTATAAAAGAGACTTATTAAAGATTATCAGTATGTTCACCTCACTGAACATATCATACCCTTCAAATAACATTCCCACAATCTTCAAAGGACTTCCCAAATAGTACTGGGAATTGCTCAAAATAAGAAGACTGGGGACCCTGGGTGGCTCAGTCGGTTAAGCATCCGACTTCGGCTCAGGTCATGATCTCATGGTTCATGGGGTTGAGCCCCACATCGGGCTCTGTGCTGACAGCCAGCTCTGAGCCTGAAGCCTGTTTCGGATTCTGTGTCTCCCTCTCTCTCTGACCCTCCCCTGTTCATGCTGTCTCTATCTCTCTCTCAAAAATAAAAACATAAAAAAAAAAAAATAAGTAGAAGACTTTTTTTTGTAATAGAGACTTCTGCATAATAGGAATTTCTATAATAAGATCTGCAGACAAGAACACAATCTACACAGTACCAAATACGAATAATCATATGTCAAATTAGGAATTAACATTAAGGAATAGCTCCAATGGCTATTAATGAAATAAGTTGTTTTAATTAAATAAGGGGAATCCATACAATATAAGAAAAATCAAAGTTTCTCCCTAAGACACTAGACTGTAATTTATTGTATTGTTTTGTTGAGAAGCAAAATTACTTCTGCATTTTCAGTAACTCTGGTAAGTGAGCTACTTCTTCCATTAAAACAAAACAAAGCAGGGGTGCCTGGATGGCTCAGTCAGTTAAGCGTCCAACTTCGGCTCAGGTCATGATCTCACTGTTCATGGGTTTGAGCCCAGCGCTTCAGGCTCTGTGCTGACAGATAGCTCAGAGCCGGGAGCCTGTCTTTAGATTCTGTGTCTCCCTCTTTCTCTGACCCTCCCCCTGCTCATGCTGTCTCTCACTCTCTCTCAAAAATAAACATTAAAAAAAAACCAAAAACAAAACATATGATAACCACTGATTACCAGACTGACATTGCCCTTAGTTTCCTAGCCTATTCCTTTATTTGGTTGGATTTAAAACATCATATTTGGATGAGTAAGATCTGTGCATTTTATTGCATATTTAAATTATACCACAATTAAGAACAATAAATCAAACCACCAACCCACACTCAAATAAACGAAGGATTGCACTCTTAGGCATTTATTCCAGAAAAATAAAAACCTGTGTTCCCACACAAACCCATATTCTAATGTTCGTAGCATATATCAATAAGGAAAAGATAGACTATTGAATAAATGATGGTATATGAGTACATCTGGAAAACATCTAGTTTCATGTTTATTTATTTTTTTAATATTTTTTTAAAATTTTCTCAATGTTTTATTTCTGAGAGAGAGAGAGACAGCATGAGCAGGGGAGGGTCAGAGTGAGAGGGAGACACAGAATCCAAAGCAGGCTCCAGGCTCTGAGCTAGCTGTCAGCACAGAGCCCGACATGGGGCTCAAAGCCACAAGCCGCGCGGGAGATCATGACCTGAGCCAAAGTTGGACGCTTAACCGACTGAGCCACCCAGGTGCCCCTATATTTATTTATTTTTGAGAGACAGAGCACAAGTCGGGGAGGGGCAGAGAAGGAGAGGGAGACACAGAAACTGAAGCAGGTTCCAGGCTCCAAGCTGTCAGCACAGAACCTGATGTGGGGCTCGAACTCACAAACTGTGAGATCATGACCTGAGTTGAGTCGGACACTTAACCAACTGAGCCACCCAGGCACCCCTAAAATGATTTATAATTGTTAAATATAAAATAAAATAATACTAGAATATGGAAGATTTAAGGAATATTCTGAAATCTAAACCTTTCATTTAATAAAAAAAAAAAAACTAACTCAAAATGGATGATGTACTTTAATATCAAATGTATAACTATAATACTTTTAGAAAAAAACAGGAGAAAATCTTTGGGCTCTAGTTAGACAGAGTTCTTAGACTTGACACTAAATGCACAATCAATAAAAGGAAATATTAATAAACTGGCCTTCATCAAATTAAAAATGTTTCCTCTGTGAAAGCCCTATGTAGAAAGATGAAAAGACATGTTACAGATGAAGAGAAAGTATTTACAAACTACATATCCAACAAAAGACTAGTATCTAGAATGTATAAAGAATTCTCAAAAGTCAATAGGGTTTTTTTTTTTAACTAATTCAATTATAAAATGCACAGAAGACACGACCAGACATTTCTCCAAAGAAGACATACAGATGGCAAACAAAGCACATAAAAAGGTATTCAACGTCATTATCATTAAAGAAAAGGCAAATTAAAACCGCAGTAAGATGAAACTACACACTTAGCAGTATGCCTAAAATAAAAAATAGTGATAGCACCAAATACTGACAAAGATGCAGAGAAAGCAGATCACTAGCACATTGCCAGTGGAAATGTAAATAGTACAGCCACTCTAAAATGGTTTGCAGTTTCTTAAAAAATCTAAGGATATACGGTCAGAGGAGCCTAAAGAGACATGAAGACAAATGGAAAAACTAAGATCTGAATAAGTGATGGACTTCAGTTAATAATACTGTATCAATATTGGTTCATTACTTTCAACAAATGCACCATACTAATGTAAGATGTTGCTATGGAGAGCCTGGGTGCGGGGTGTATAGAAACTCTATTACCTTCCCAATTTTTCCGTAAATCTAAAACTGTTCTAAATTTTTTTAAACTTTTATTCATTTTTGAGAGATGGGGGGGAGAGAGACACAGAGAGAGAGAGACAGAGAGAGAGAGAGAGAGAGAGCAAGCGCACATGAGTGGGGAAAGGGCATAGAGAAAACGAGAGACACAGGATCTGAAGCAGGCTCCAGGCTCTAAGCTGTCAGCACAGAGCCTGATGCGGGCCTCAAACTCATGAACCACGAGATCATGACTGGAGCCAAAGCTGGATGCTTACCCGATTGAACTACCCAGGCACCCCTAAAACTGTTTGAAGAAATAGTTTATTAAAAAACTAGGGATATCTGGGTAAGCATCGACTCTTTGATTTCAGTTCAGGTCGTGATCTCACAGTTCATGAGATGGAGCCCTGAGATGGGCTCTGTGTGACTCCACAGAGCTTGCTTGGGATTCTTTCAACCCCTCTCTCTACTCCTCTCCTGCTCTTGTGCGTGTGTGTAGGTATGTGTGCGTGTGTGTGTCTCTCTCTCAAAATAAATAATCATTTAAAAAAAGAAATTAAAAAAAAAAAGGAATTGAAAAAAAAAGGGAGGGGTGCCTGGCTGGCTCAGTAGGTAGAGCATGTGACTCTTAATCTCAGGGCTGGAGTTCAAGTTCTACATTGGGTGTAGAGCCTACTCAA